GATAGAGCTCAAATAACACGTTACCGCCAAGTTGCCATCTATTTCTGGTCTTAAATCATGGCCAACTGATTCCGTGAACCGCCATCTCGACATGAAAGTTTATCCAATAAAAACAACTGACCAAATTGTTGTGGAAAAGCATGCTGGTTATAAGACTAGGCCTACTCTCTCTATGAAATTACTATCTCTAGCAAGCTGTCATTTTTAAGAATATGGGAGGAGGTCACTTCCACCAATGCCCGAGACGTTCAAAATTGCCATTAGAAGCGCGCGCAAGCGTTGATAGACCTCAAATTTGTGAGATCAATGCGTTGATCTCCATTTAGGACACGCGTACGCCTACGCATGGTGAAGATTCAGAAAACGTGCAGCTGGCGGTGAGGGTTTGCGGGTTTTACGCAGGCGTATTTTATAACAGTTGCGATGTCGTATCAATTAATCTTGGAGGTTAATTGCACCATGAAACGTCTTAGCTCAGAAAAAACTTTAACAAAGATGTTCGAGGGATTGAACGCAAACGAGGGGTGTATGTTTGAATTTTGTTAAATATGGCAGATGCCATGGCAGTTTAATGAGCTCGAATTGGTCGTAATATCTGTGGGGTGTTTTCTATTCGTATTATTCCGGAAAAATTCAGATCAGTATGAATCAAGTTCCTTCCCGGATAAATACAGTTGAATGAATTTACTCAATAAATAAGTGCAAATCTGAGTAGTTAGGTTTAAAGTTAACAAATGAATGGAAGTTGGGACCGTCTGAAATATCACTTATTAGCAAAAGTGGTTTCAAAAACTGAATGATTAATTTGTCCTTTATTACCCCCGGATTTCAACGGAAAAATCTCCCAGAAAGCCACAATTTGTGTTTGTCAGATTTGCAGACGCTTTAAACTCAAATCACGTGACAGACGATTTGCTATGAGTGACAGAATGTTTCTTTGGGGCTGAGATGTAACCAACTGAGCCAGACGGAGAGCTGACGTTTGTTGAATGAAGTTGCAAACAAGGAAATTCAAAGTCAACGCAACAAAAGAAATTCTTTCGAAATTCGTCTCCGTTCTCACTGGAAACTGACTTTTGTATGCCAGAAAGCAGTTGTTAAGTGTAAATCTTTAGTCAAGTTGTTAGCTCAGTTTTGATTAATAAGTGAATGCGGTAAAAATGACAGTAAGTTTTTAATTTGGCTGTTGCAGTTTTAGCTGCGCGCATTTTGTGGTCACTGAAAAGGTTCTCACACTTCCGTGTGCAACATGTCGGTTTTCAATAACATTTATTCAATACATGAATGAATCATTTTCTTTTTATTTTTGGCATATTTTCGGGAGGGAGGCCGAGGGTCTAGCCCATACCCTGAGAAAAAGGTTATGTCAGTAATCAATTTTGACCAGAAATGCACAGCATATATACAACACCGCATTACTCTCCTGAAGTGCCGCCATTGTTCGGCCGCGCATTTTGTGCACAAACAATGCGCGATGTCCTATCCAGTCTTTCTAAACTACATCAGGTTTGCTCTTATAGGCACACTTCTTTAGATAAGGTTATTTTGTTGCCCAAAAGGAACTTAATGACGAACGATGGACTGTACCTTTAATTAACGAATGTACCTTTAAGGCTGGCGTTTCACAGTAGTGCGCCTCCAAGAGATTGCAACGCGTTGACCAATCACAGTGTGCGAAATTTGTCGACCCAATGCGTGTTTGGAAAGGGTCGACAGATTTCGCGCTTTGTGATTGATCAACGCGTTGCAAAGTCTTGCAGGCGCACTATTGTGAATCGCCCGTATTTTATATTGTTGTTCAAATGGTACAGACCATTGGATTGCGCTGAATGTAAACAATACCACCACGTGTGGACCGCCTTGACCACGGTGATCACATTTATTCCTACGGGCAGCTTTAACCACGTACAAATGCATGCTTGACTAGTTCATCTTGAATAAGTAGATTACCATCCCAGCACTGTGAACTCATAATGATCACAACACATCGCGCTCCAGCACGATCGTGACATCACAGGAAAAGGTCTATAGTTACTTTCACAGTGGCTCCCTGTTCATTGGCCTCTCACTGGTTCATATTTCATCATTGCGAAACATTTTTTTATGGCGCGCATCTGATAATAATGGCGCTGGCCGCCGTTTCAGACTCGCCGGGCTGTATAATCATACCCCTAGGGCTGCAACGCAAAGTGATCTGTGCTCAAGGTCTGGAAACCATATCCCATCAGGTTTGTACAGTGAAAAACTGCCGGGGTTAACCCATTTTAACCCATGGAAGGGTGAAAACTGCAACTACCCAAATATGGGCTGTGTTAACCCAACTTTTGGTTGAGACTTACCTTCTGTTTCAGTTTTCACCCAGAAAATTAGTGGATATTAACCTCTGTTTGGTTAAAACTACCCGGAAATTTATTTCAATCACCCAAGTCGGGTTGAAACAACCTAAACTATTGGGTAGTTGCAGTTTTCCGCCCTCGCTTGGGTTAAAATTTAACCCAGACAAATTTTCAGTGTAGGCCGACATGTACATGTACACCCGCTCCTGTTTGTGCTGGGCACCAGTATGGCTTTGTTCCGACACGATATTTTTTCTGCTGATAACGAGTCAACCAAGTGGAAAATGACATTTGTGTGTTTTACAGATAATTTTCACTTCCCCAAATGTGTGAGTCGTGGTTTAGAATTCGTGTCTACATGATATTATTTAATCTGTGGACATTAAAAATTATGTTTACATCTTAAAGTTTGAGGGTAAGGCATCTTGAACCTGACGTCTTTATTATACACGAAGAAAAAGTATTCCAAGCCAGAATGTCGGTTAACTTTTATTTGTTATGTCTTCCCCCGACACTGTCGAAGCGACAAACGGAAAAAAGGGCCCAGACAAGGTTTTTTGCATTGTGCTGAAGGGTGGACCTATATTAACCACGAGTCAGCTTACAGATGCCCACGTCAGTTAGTGAAAGACTACCCCTTTATGATAATGCGAACGGCGCGGTATGTTGAGAACAACACGCGAGTTCATTTTAGGGCAGACCGTAAGTTCAACCATAATCCTTACGCGATTTCCGGGCCGTGGTGACATTCAAGCCAACAAGTAGCATATGCACAGCGTATAACGTATAGAACATTTCCGCTTTGCTTTTAAAATGGATTTAGGGGTTGGTGAGAGGCGGTTAAATATTTTTTTGGAGGAAGGGCAGGTCGTGTTGAAGAGAGTTTCGGGATGGGAGGGAAGCCATTTGTAGGAATTGTTTGCCTTATTTTTCTGTCTTCTAAACAGTGGAAGTATGTCAAGAATATTTAATCAAGCACTAGGTCCTTTTTTTATTGAAGGGGTCATTCTTCCATGTTCATTCTTTGGCTTTCATGCAAAAGGTCGCCATCGAGCGCGTAAGACAGGAGACTTCGAAGCGACCGTCGTGTACGTGTGATGCGAATTACCATGGAGATTCCAGTGAATCATGTACAAGGCATGTACATGGATATCTACATGAACTGTACATCACATAGTTATGCTCGAGTCTAGACACGCATTGCTTTGGTCTTGCTCGGCCAGGTTATAAATAATGCGCCGCAGTTAATGTGTATAGTGCATCAACCCTAGTGGCCAGTTCTTGTTGCACGTGGCTACAGCTTGTACTACGCACGAGTATGTGGGGGAACCAGCGAGCCTCACACGGTAAAATCAACGTTTAGGGCTGACACACTTTTTGTTACCAACTTTTTAACAAGCTTAACCGCGACATGTTTATTATCTAAATGTGTTTAGGAATGTATTTAGATACAAAACGCGCTTCCGAGAGCAGATGTTCAGCTTTTGGAAATCCGCTTGGTATTTAAACACTTTCCTAAACGCATAACAAGGAACATGTCGTGGGTTAAACGTTGTCAGGTATAGGTTTACCCCCTCATTATGCACGATTAAAACCTTTTGCCCCTTCGAAGTGTATCTAAGCCAAGGGCAGTTTCCGGGTCGGCTGTGGAGATCAGTCAGGATTGCTGTATCGATTGCCAGTCATGGATTATGGACATTGTTGGCATCTTAAGTTCAAGTGAACATGTGATTTTAATTGTGTTACAGCGACAGATGATGAATTGGCCTCCACGGTTGCCACTGAAAATATCGATTAATGTTGCTTTGTTTCACTTGGACTGAAAAATCTTGTCAAGGTATTTCTTATGTCTGTCTCTGTCTCATTAGCAAGGTATCCCATGTTGGTGTCATTGTTCAAAGCCTCGCAAATGCTGAGTTTGTAACATAATGACAATGGCTTAATAATTCTTAATCATTGAAATCTCTTGTAATCGAGGGTCGAGTTGATCATTTCAAGAATGAGCATTTGGTCAGACAGGGATTCTACTTTAAAACTAGCCCATTGTCTACTTGTGTTGTGATCGATTTGCGCCAACTCATAACCGTGCATAACGGATACTTCCTTGTAGTGGAGAGAGGATTTCTGTTTCACATCACTCGTTTTTCCTGGAGAGATTAATTCCCATTTCTGTTCTCGGTCTTAATCCGTATTTTTCGACGGAATGATTCAAGATGTGCATGTGTCGTGTGAATGGAGATCGGGTGATGGCGCTCTTTAATAAATGTTGGCGGGGAAACCCAAACGAAATTTGGTGAAAATCTTGACTGTATTTGCATTATTTACCCCACGTAAGCAGTCTGTTGAACGGCTCATGTCCTGATATTGTTAGCGGCTAATGAACTTAATTGAAGCGAGCCAATTTGGTTCGAATGAGGAAATGAATACTTAATGAGCCAGATCGGTATGTCATCAAGGCTAGGCAAGGTCGTTCAGGAACCGTAGCGCATACGTGAATTGGCATAGCTGCACAGACGGGACAGACCATGGCGCGCACGCGCAGAGCTTGCTGTTCCCGAATGACCCCGGACGCGCTTCAGTTTGGGCATGCGCTGTTTGAAGACCAAACAAGCTCTTTCAAAAGAAACCAACAGTATCTTGGGTTTCTCTTTTTTGATTGGTCAGGTTAATCATCTTGCGGAGGTTCCTCTTTATTGTCGGATTGGCTTATTCTATGCGATGTGTGACGATGATCGTGACGTCACTATCCGTGGCAGGATACCACGTCCATTGTGGCAAGAAGGTAATGCAACTAGGCCTGCATCACACCTCAGTCTTTAAAAGGTTGTCGTGATAGATCATTTCTTACTCTCGCTTTTTCAGCAACTGAATTCTCTTTCCCAGTGTACGAAAACTATTTGACACATTTTGAGTTAAACGTAGTGAAAAACAAACAAACAAATAAACAAACAACCCCCCCAAAAAACGCCTTTGAACCATTTAAAGTTGTACATGTACATGCTTTTTTGGACGCTGCAGGATTTTCGTGACGTCATTGTTTTCAATCCAAGTCATGGATGCACACAAAATAACTTTTAAAAATTACAAAAGAGATATGGGAGGTAGGACTAGGCCTAGGATAATTGTTGATGTCTCATTTGTCTTTCGGAATTTTTGTTTCAGATGTTTGACAGCGTGTGGAGCAAACTAGGACGCGCTGTGGCGCCCTCCATCGGGCTGGGAATGACAGTGACGGGTCAGAGGGACGAAATGTGCGGCGATTACATGTACAGTGGGCACACGGTCTCCATAATGGCGGCTTGCCTCTTTTTCACTGAGTGTAAGGCTACGTACGAATTTGTGGTCTATGTTGCGGTCTTTGTCCATAGCAACTACGCAGGGACAAGCCAACATTAGACTAGGTAGACGTAGTCACAATGATGCAAGCCTATTTCAGACACGATCTAAGTCTACCTAACTATCTCGTGGGCGTTTTCTTTTCGCCGCGAAATACCGTTTGCTGGTACCCGGTCCGAAATACATGTAATGTGCATTGCAGCATGCGCAGGCAGTAAGTTCGAGCGAGGACTGTCGTTAGCTTGTGCTTAGTTTGAGAGTTGCCGTGGACCTGTCGATGCGTCCACTACTCGGCCACTGACGATCACTCACTCACCTTGCCAACATTTTGCACTCTGGCGGGCATGAGCCTCCTGCGCCTCAATTATACAGCGCGAGTGATACCAAGAACCCACTCAGGCGGAAAGCTTTCTTGCTCATGCCAGAAAGAACCAGATCTAAATGCCTGACTCTCATTAAGCTTTCAATGCGGGTGTTTACAAGACAATACCGCGTTCTGAAGGCTAACCATCACCGAAAAAAAGTACAACAAATACAAGTTGCAAAATAAAAAGATCGTACATCAAATACAAGTTGCGAAATACTTGGACAATCAGACTTGGCCTTTGAAAAATAGTTTTTGACTAAAGAAAGTCTCAGTGGGAACTTGCAAACAAACGCTATCTATACAGTCTTGATAACGTTCCGTTAATAATCGTTGTTTCAGGTTAAGATCACTTCACAGCGGATGAAAACAATTCAAATTAAGATTAATGGCATTAAACGTATCATCGTTGCTTGACCATTTGTTTACTTTTACGGCGGGGCTTGGGCAAGGATAATCAAAATCGGAGAGGGTTTGTAATGTGCTGGATATTTGTCATCACACGCGGGAACACTGTAGAAGTACAGCAATATCCTTAAGTCAGCTTCACATTCGACCTAAGACAGCCACATTTTCACGTGAGTTTATCTTTATGTCTTTTTTTTTTGGTTTCATTACAGACACTCCGAGCAGATGCCGCTTGTTCCACTTTCTGGCCTGGGTCACAGCAGGCGCTTCGCTTTTCTTCATCGTGGCTGCCCACGAGCACTACACGGTGGACGTCTTGATTGGCATGATCGTCACCAGCCTCATATTCCTTTACTATCACACGCTGGCCAACACCCGGGCCCACCTCCACCGCGACCTCTACAGGGTCCGGGTGTGGCTGCCCTTCTTCCACTACCTGGAGGCCAAAATCGACGGCGTGGTCCCCAACGAGTACGAGTGGCCGTTCCGATGTCCCTCCTTCTCCTGGCCGGCGGGGCCCAAACTTTGGCCCCGGGGCAAGTCCGGTCTCGTCGACTGATTCCACGCTCAACAAACAGGTCATCCGTAAAGCTGGCTCAAAGCCTTTAATGTTCACCAGCTACGTTAGTATTCCACGCTGTAGAACACCCACGAACTTCTACCTTCCTCGAGAGGCGGAATGGACGGTCGTAAATTTGAAGATTCCCGTGGCTATTAGTATTGAAAATGACGCCTGAAATTTAATATAATTTTTTTTCCATTTCAAGCTGATCAATATGCTAGCGCGCGGTGTCTACTAGGCTTAAATGGCTTAATTAATGTACACTTAATTGTCAGGACAAAGCCTTGAAGATTTAACATGCATGAGGTACTTTCTAACAAGTGGTGACCTTTGACCTCACGAGGTGACCTCTGTGTAGATCCCATGTTAATTCGGAGCTCTGCGCTTGGTGCTTTTATAAAAAAAAAGTACATTTTGCCGTAAACCTTTTTCGAAATGCTTAATAATAGTAGTAAATTCGTAACGATCTGCTCAAACAAGGCTGTAAAATGGCGGAGGCTTTTTCATATTATGCAACAATGGCAAACAAAGTTTGTACATTGGCTTCTTTGATAGTTCACAGTTGGCTGTTTTCTAGTTTCGTCTTGAAGGTACCTTTTATAGTTCTGGATTTTCCGCCGTGCGCAGTCGACAACGGAGGAGAAATGACGTCTAACCGCAACCTCTAGCATCTCTATACAGACGCTATACAGAAATTTCCAGTTCCATTTTACGCACTTGCTGGTCAAGTATCATGCCTATACCGAGGCTCCTTAAAATGGGAAAGAAAAATGCCGCTTGGCTCTTGTCCTCAAGAAGTTCAGAAAATCTGTAATCGTATACAGTGTTAATGTATGTGTGGCCTCACTTTTTAATGATACTGCACACAGCAGCGGAATACTGGCGCTGCTAGGAGGTTGGAACCGTAATGCAATTAAATGAACAGTGTTCCTTGTATATATACACACAGAAACACACTCAATCTGTACTAGTAAGCAGGAGGTCGTGGGTTCGAGTCCCACCCGAGTACGCCTGTGGTTTGTTTATCACAAGCCTTCGGGGGCAGACACTGAGTATACACTGTTAGACTATACACGTCGGGCAGGGCGAAAGTCCAAAATTAATTCCACTTCCCCGGCGCAAATCCATCTTTGAAACATCCAATCTTGCAAAAAAAAATTTGCAGTGTCTGAGCGTTGATTCAAATACATTAGATGAAGTTTGAATGCTAACATGTATTAGATGGCATTTGGCCTACTTAATGATTCGATCGTTCGAGGCGCAGTCGAAGCTTCTGCTCGTAGAGTCGCTCCTTTTTTTTTTGAACGAGAACAATCATGTTCATAATGTTCACAAATTGTCACAGATACAGAGAGATTTTTTCATTGTTGAAGACCTCCATACTATTTTTCTAATGCCTCTCCTCTAACCACTTCGTTAGATTTATTGAAAAAGAAAATATTTTGCCACCGAAACAATTTTTTTTAGTAGTTAGTCATTTTGTAGAATGCAGTAGTGTTCTTTGTTCTTTTATTCTCATGTCTGTGTGTACATCAAAAATGTGCCAAGGAGGAGTTGTTCCAGTTTGTTTGCATTTTCAAGCTGGTCCAATTTGGTCGTGGTTCAGCCCTTAGGGAAGCTATGAATACATTTCAATCTGCGAGATGGTTGCGGCGATACACAGGGAGACACGAATTCTGGACACCGGGCAAAGGTATACATTGCCCGTCATCACAATTGCCGCTCAGTTTGGTCGTGCGCTCAGGCCTTCATGCTGTTCCTTATGATGCAAAATGGATTTCGAATGGACATCGAAATGCACACTTTCACGGTTTACCTCTTAAGCTCTGTATACCGTACCGGGAAACGTACTGGCGCACTCTATATCGTTGGCTAATGCTCAGCAGCCGGGCAGAATGCAGAGAAAAGCAAATACAAGCCGGCACACCGTTAATCACAATGCAAGGGTGCTTTGCCCACCCCCCCCCAAAAGCGCAAGATATTGCTTTTATTGGTGAGAACTGCTTGATCCTCGTCTTTTAATCTGCTTAAAACCATTTGCGTAGCTATTGGCATATTGGCATGTCACGAGAGAACTTACTTGTTTAAGCATTCCTTCAAGGGCAGCTGGATATAGGCCGTACAACACGAGGCCTTAATTCGGGCAGTAAGTCTGCCATTTACGTCATCCCCGCACGTCGTGAGAAAGTGTTTTTTAGTAATCGTCGGCTGCAGACGTGCTGGTGTTGACAGGCGAGCGGGATTGAAAGAGGTCGCGCGTACGCACACAGTAGACGTTGGCTTGCAGTTGCACGGCGGTATACCTGTGATCTCATCATAACGGTTGAGGTTTACAGTGGAACGGATACTGAAGTTAGACCTACCAGCTCGCAAAATCCCAGTGGTTTCATTTCTGCAGAGCCCCTGTGTAAAATTTGGGACGATCTGATGTAAGTTTTCGTATCGAAAAGAGCGGAATTAAACAAGATTACCTTGCATTCTAAAACGTGGGACCAAAGCATGCTTGAAAAGCTCAAACAGGGAGGACGCTGCATCACTTTGTAAAAGAATTAAATTCTTGAATTTTGTTCCAGAGTGTTGCAGGAAAATATTGCTGAAAACATATTTCAATAACTCTAGGCATTGCCTTATGTTGCCGTGACTGTCTAATTTGTATAAATGAAGAACTTTTACAAGGTTTAAAAAGCTGATATTTTCTACAGTGTATATTGCTCGATATCATTGCTACTGCACTTTTATACTTGCCGTGTGCTACTATTTTTGGTGTTGTTCAATTAGCTTTGGGCGGCTTGGACTTAATTTGGATCGACCTGTGTTTGTTCCAGTTAATGACGGCTCTGCTAGCAAACATTCGCAACATGTTCACATTTGCTGCAGCTAACAGGTCTACTTGAACTTCTTTCTACGTGAATTGCGCATAGTGTGGTTCTTTAAAGTCTGTGTCATTATGCGAGAGTGACGTACAACTCGATCTGCGCATGCGCCCCTGTAGCCAAGGACAAAAAGTTTGTTGTTGTTTCAAAGGTCACCAAAATATCAATATGCTTGTCAGTGCTTGTTTGGCTATATTCAAAACCGTGTTCAGAAGACCTGACACCAAGCAATGTCTCTTATTTCGAGGAGACAGACGGCACAGGCAGAGCTGTTTATAGAGAGAGTTGTAGCAATAAGTGCCTTAATTGTTGGTGTCAAAATGGTGGATTATGGGGCAGTGCGCATGGACAAAGGGAGACTCTGAGACGCATGGTGGCGGCAGACAAACCGGTCCTTTTTGCCTTTGTGCGCGTGCTCAGAACTGAAACAATTGATCTCCATTATATAATGACTGAAACGCATGCCCCGAATTGCGCGTGCATGCCCACATCATCCAAAAAGGGACCGCCACCAAGCGTCTCAAGGTTTCCCTTTAGTACACAACAGCTGAATGCTGTATTATGCACACAATAGTATGCATATTGGTTCCAAAGTCTGAAGTTGGCGGAACTCTCTCTATTCACAGCTCTGAATACACGAGGTGTCCGGGGAGCCCACTGTAGACGTAGGATCTTTTCTCCGATTGGTCGCATTCTCCGATGTGGCACGCAGTGCCTTGCGTTACCTTTTTGAAATGACCTCACCCCTACTCGCCCGAGGTCACTGGAACAGAAAAGCCGCATCGACCCGCTGATGACTGACTTTCTGAGTAGGCCATTTTCGGTCCGACATACGATCGCCCATAAAACTCTTTTCAACTTGCAATCTCATTGGCTACAGCCTTGAACGAAATAATTACAGGCACTCAACGCTGCAAGTAACATGGCATTGTTTTTTTCAGCTCAACTTGAAATTGGAACAGACACAGGTGATTCGAGCAACAGCTCGTTTGAAAGGTCGTACATTTCCGCATGTAAAACATGTTAAATACTAGTTGATTATAGGTGAATTTCAATGATGTTGCTGTTTGCAACGTGTATGCAATGAAACATTTTACATGTATAATTATTACCACCTACAGAATGCCAAAAACCCACAGATAAGTTGGATGAGAACTACCTTTCGTCAGTGTGCTTATAGTGACACGTGACGTCCGTCAGAGCCATATTGCCAAAATTAACGCCTTTAGTGGGGATGCTGTTGGAATAAATCTAAGTGAAGATAATAGACCGATTACGCTTAGTAAGTCACTCGACCCATAAAGGTGGGCATCAAACATCAGCAAACATGGGTGGCCCCTTTCGGTGTCGTTTACCAACAATAAAGCTGACGGCTGGGAAAGTGCATGTACTCCGACTAATGATGTGCTGAGTGTTCTGCCGAAAATCGGCTTTCTTTTTGGTAAACAACACTTAAACACACAACACTATGGGAGGACGCCATGTTTGTTGATATTTTATATCCACTATAGGTCACGTGATTTAGCGGGCATAATCGGTCAATTTGTTGTGTTGTGAGTAGCGAACTCGACTTAGGCCGTGTCCGAAATGGGCTTCCAGAGCTACGGCTAGGTCTATTGTCTGCGCGTCCCCACGCAATGCCAGTGGAGCGTAGACCTAGACCTAGCTCTAGACAAGAGATTCGGATGCAGCCTCAGGCTAGTATCACCACACCTTGACTATATTTTCATACTGTTTGTTAGTGAAGCAAGTCTCTGAAATGGCTATTATGTAGAAACGGCGTCGCATTGGCCGCCATTCGAAAGTGAGTTTACGCGTTCGTCTACTGATGTCTCGTTGCAATTATGAGACAAAGTGGGGGAAAGTTTTGTTTTCCATTCTTTATCAAATTCAAGTTTTACGATCCATTTGGTAGTGTCCTTTAAGATGCCCCACACAGTGGCCGTGGACGCCCCGGGGATGCATCACTGTAGCAGGTTGATTTTTCACTTAATATTGACGTCACTCGGATATGTTTGTCAATTTAAAATCCTCTGGCAGTTTTTGCACCAAGCAGGTTGTTCCCATGTCGACCTTTTCGAAGGTTGATACCCACGCCAGCAAAGCTGTTGCAGTGCTTGCCCCTGTCTTAATAATGACCTTCTCACCAGAAATAAATGCCAAGAATGATCATTTATCACCGAAAACCACGCCAAGGTCCACAGTTTACAGATCGGGTCACAATAAAGCCGTCCCATCCCGATGTCGTAGGAATAGACAGCGGCATGCGAAATCCTCGTTTGGGTTTAAAAAAAGCTGGTGTTAGACGCAACACAGTATTCTGAAAGAATCAGGAAGAATTCAGACCCCTGATTAAATCATGTCAGATTAGTGACGAGTGTGAATATCTAAAATTCATATTTTCAACTTCGCCGTTTATTCTACCCCGCTGTTGCCTGATTCAACGCGCGCAGTGCTAGTGCTATAAACAGTGTTTGGCGAATTGGAAAGCCCTTGCAAATCGAAATTTGAAGTCGAGTTACACGCCGCCTGAAAGAAAAAGGCCGGAATTGTTGTTGCTATTAATGTCGCATGTTCCTCTTATTAGACTGAATTGGGGTCGTTGTTGGGAAACGGAGGGACTTCCCGACAGTTTCCACGGCATGAGAAATGGAAAACCCAACTTGAGAATGTAGTTTATACAAGTTGACTATACGAGCTGAAAGCGAGGTTAACTTTTCATTTGGGGAACTTGAGAGCACAATTGAAAGCAACGAAATAAAAGTTCATTACAAATTCATTCATTTTTATAATTAGTGGATGTTTACATCCGAATATTTCGAGCCACGTTTAGAAAACAACTAAAAGTGAAGTTTGAATCCACAAATAGGTTGGCACCAACCGATGTGACAGATTTCATTAGTTAGATTCGGGGAACATGATTTAAAATGGCGCCCTGTGCCTTTAGCAAACCAAGGGATCTAAAGTTACGACGGGATTACATGTATATGGTTGTGAAGCGCATACATTGATAATGTGAGGCTTGAAAATTGTATGGGAACTCTAGCTCTGTTCTTCTCATGTTGGCTGATACGTTCTGCTCGTTCGTGCTGACATGGTTGCTCTTCGAACGCTGAACCAAAGAACGGGAATTAAGTCCTGTACAGTGGCAAAATCTAACTTTTGAAACCAATGTTAAGCTTCTTTTCCGCGAGAATATTTCTCATGACAAAGGAAGACGATCGCGAACTTAGCATCGTGATTCGATTTTTTTCGGGGGGGGGGGTGAATGACAGTTTTCTTTAATAGCTGTTATGAGAGATAACCATGGCTGTGCTTCATTTCGCATGAATTTCATAACGAATACGGCACGTCTATTTGTGAACATTGAGCCGTCCATAGGCCTACATGAAACTCCCCCGGCGTGGTACATGAGTACCCTTTGACATTCACCCGTGGATCGATCAGGCGCTGCATGTATACTGAGTTGATCACCATGACAACGCACTGTTCATTGCATTTCATGGCTTTCACCCCACCTTTCCTGGTGATAGCGTGTAGTTAAAAGTTGAATGCCCACCTTAGCACTAGGCAGACCTGGCTGTGTGCCGAGTTCAAAGAGATTTTTGTCATGGTTTTTATACTATTTAATCCGCTACATCACTCTTTATTCATAACGATAGGATTTTCTTTAGCAAGCCCTGGCGATTCTAAAAAGGCTGTTCGTTTTTTTGCGGGCATCTGACTCTTCAGAGCTGTCGGAATCAGTTGGCGAACTTTCAATGAGTCTTACTTAATTCAGCAGCCAACCAAAGAGGGGACAGAGGTAGAAAGGGGCCGTCTGTAAACCCTTATTTAATTGGCTGTAAGGGGTATTTATTAAAAAACACAAGTGTATGTACTAAAGCAGCCATAAGCACATTTCAAGTAGGCCCCTATAGCCAATTTATGTAATATTTGTAATTATAGACCTACCATTGGGTTTCACACACACCGAAGAGTATATTTATAGTTGGACACTTGCAGAGTAAACATTATTCCCAATTTTTGGGAAGAAAACATTTTCGTTTTCAATGACCAGCAGGTACACTGTACATAATTCTCAAGTACATTCATTTCATGTCTTTGAAAATAACTGCTACGTTTGTTTTCATTATGACACAACGAATGTTGCTTCGACTGCTACGTTTGTTTTTATTTAAACAAAATTGTATTTTTTTTCATATTGATACTCACGTTCTTCCAACATAATTTAATTCACAGTCGCTTTATACTATGGTACTCATTGTCTTACGTAACTTCCACTCTAAGTGTTGAATTCATTGTTTTGCCGCTCATACTTTTTAACACGCGGTGCAGAATGTCAAAGTTGGCTGATGTTATAAAATGACAGTGTCGCACAAATGCAGGAAAAGAATAAAAGAGAGCTAATCCAAAAATTATATGCACAAAACTGATTAATTATTTTTATTTTGTGTGCTTACTGCGAGTACGAGGGATCACAGTTCTAAAAATAGGTCTGCTATAATCACGATGTCATCAGTGGCTTATGGGGGGGGCTTGCCCCTGACGAATTTTATCTTGTACAAAGAATACTTCATAGCTAAGAAAGTAATCAGTAAATTTATTTATCAAATATTAACACTAAAACCCTGACAGACAACACCATGAAATAAAAGCAAGGATGACGGGACTACGAGTATTAAAGGCTTTTGATATTTTACCTAACATCGTTTTGAATGAAACCGAATCCGCATTTCTGATTATCTACATCAGATATGGGGACTGTTGAGTTAATAAGGTCGCCACAATGCGCGCCTCCAAGATTTGGGGCGTTGGCCAATCACAACGCGCGAAATCTGTCGACCCAATGCGCGTTTAGAAAGGGTAGACATTATTTTGCGCGATGTTATAGGCTAACGCGCTGCAAACTCTTGGAGGCGCACTGTTGTGAATCGCTAGTATTAATAGTTGAAAGTCTACTAATAAAATACATGTATCTTAGCCACTACATTTCAAAGTTACATTGCAGGTCATTGATACAACTATAACACAAAGACTAAACACCAGCCATTTTTAATTTTATAGTTAAATAGGATGCAAATTGAATGACCAACATTTGAAGCAAAACAAATCTGTCAAAGAATTTTTTTAAGGTTTACCAGATTAAATAATTATTGAAGTATTCATTAAGTTTTTTAATTAGCTCCTCGCAAACGTTTTCTCGTCATGGTTTCAAAATGTCTGATTTGTAAGCATTACAATAAATAGTCAAGATTAATCCCAACTCAGGCTTAGTGACAACAGAAGATCATTTTAGCTTGTACAGAATTAAGTCTGTAAAATGCACTTTGCCTATATTTATTTTAGAGTTGGTCGACGTGCTACGCAATTCATAATTTGCCAATATCAGTTTTATTATGACTTCCTGCGGGTGTTTTTGTCATAATCGAAATTGCACTTTGATTTAGCCTCGTTATTAAGTAAAAATCCGGCGTATTCCTTACAGATACTTCCCAGGAACAAAATGGATATCCAAAATGTGTCTGAGATGCTTTGGAGAAGTCAAGACTTACTCTGGTATTTTTTTCAGAACTGAGTTTTTCAGACAATAACACAGCGCCACCAATAGTTATGATACAGTTACTAGTCGGGAGTCTGATTTTCGTAACGAGACGAAAAGGTACATGTACAGACGTACAGTACTTGTACATGTTATGCAGGTGCATACGTCAATGAGTACTATATTAACCATGGCGTCAATGTTTAAGAACCTAAGGACTTTGTCATGTTTTGCGCGACAAATACTGCCATTTTCGAGATGTACCAAGCCTCTGCAGAAACAGATACCCTCAAGAAGCCAAGGAACGTATGTTGATATTGATGATAATATAACCGGACTAAATGACGACCAGAGGCAGGTAGGCTTAGCCCTAGTGTCATGAGTGTGGCACGGTCACGGAGTGAGAGTCCGTAGCCCAGGTTGGACGTTGTCCTTATTTCATTACGTAGTACGGTCAGGGAGTCCACCTGGGCTAGGTAGGCCTACTTAAGTACTACTAACAGTGTTTGAGATAAAGACGCGGCTAGAGGTGGCAAAATCTTAAAAGCTTGTGTCAGCCATGCCATTACAAGAAACAAACAAGCCTATGTTGACGAGGTGTCCAACATCTGGACATACACGATTAAAAGGAGATCATTTTCCGACTTCCATGCCATGGTCTGACGGTCCAAAATTGCCCAAAGGAACTTAGGCCTAACTTGAATTGTTAAAGGGCTCATGCGATCAATTTTTCTTCAACTCTTTTTTTTGCATCTTACTAAATTATAAAACCTATCAAAATGACTAACATTTAGCAACTGTTACTTTTGTTGTTACATTTGTAACTGACTTCCTAATAGTAATGTTGCTTACATTGCTCACAATCTCATTGTTGAGGTTTAAGATGTCAATCATGATATCATGTTGTTTTTTGCTACTCATCTGCAATTGTAAATGCTCCAAGCATTTTTTAACTGGTTCTCATGATTTTAATTAAAAACAGCATGAAGCTGTTCTTATCACATAAACATGCACGTTACTTTTAACGATCTTTGTAAAACCCTTGTTGACCTGATGTACATGTAATGTCAAGTAAAATTGTATTGAAATTGGAGGATTTGGGATTGTCGGGGTTAATTAATAAATACATATAAGTGTACATGAAGTATTGTCTATTAAATTGCATTCACTCTGTGTTATTTGGGTTCTAAAGTTATTTTTTAAAATAAAATAATGTATACTTGATTTATGTCGCGGATTTGGGCAAGCGGTTCTCAGTAGTGCGCAACATTAACACTTTTGAAAAAGAGTATGTTGTTGCTGGTGCTGTGGGCTTTCATTTCCTACCCTTTTCGCTCCCTTGCCAGATGTTGATCACTGAATCCAAAAACTATAGGCATGTTGATCCCATGACCCATAGTCTATACTCGGCATTGTTGTTGGGGTAGTGAATATTGGAAATCCACTTTTTAATACATAGGCCTACTAGGCGGTCATGCTATTTAGTGTCAACAAACGTCAACACACACAAGTAGCATCAACAAAGTGTCAACAACTTGAAAATGCCTTCTACAAATTTAAAGTGGTTTTTATCATCGAGACTCTAACACTTGCTGCTGCGTAAAAGAAACACCGAATTTGCTTCCAGATTCTCGCAGGAAAGTGGAAATTTTTTGCCATGTCTGGGGGCCGCGATCTCTCTTTCCTCTGCCGTCCATTCCAAAACAAGATGGCAGCCGGCGGGACTGCACAAACAGGCCCAACTTTGTCAGTCAAATTTCAACCCTCAGAGATCATTTCTGATTGATATGATACATTGAATTTGATATGTAGGAGCCTAATTATCATGGTAAGTAAAACAATTTTCATAAATATACTTGAATAACTTGTTGACGCTAAATACATGTAGCATGACCCCTACTACATGTAGGCACTACTGGGCCTGTCCTACATAGGCCTGTAAATTGTCCATGGTTTTCCAGACAACCAAGGGCGCCGTTGCTGTGGCGTCATTTTAAGGCATTAGCAGAATATCAAGAAATCAGCATTCCATAGCATACATGTAGGTCACTAGGTAACCAGGCTAAATGAGACTAAGGTTTGCATTTTGGTTGTAGGTTGTTGCAAACATGCTACATGTATCTAAACATGCTAACCTGATCATGAATAAGGTATTGTCGCTTGCCACAGCCACTTACATGTACGACATCGAATGCAGACGACATTGGTCGGCGATTTTAACATTCATACACCAATTTTCCCCCCCCTCCTTTCCAGCTCAGAGAATCCGTTTTTCGGTTTGTCCAGGATGAGCTTGCACCCAAAGCTGCCGAGATCGATGCCAAAAACACATTTGAAGGACAGCGGGTAAATAGAAACATGGCCGCCTTTGTATTTCCCAGCAAAGACCACTGGATGACATTTTTCCCATCGATAGCCCCACTGCAGGTGATCAGAAAGCAAAAGAGCTACACCACATTCCCCCTTTGCACAGCCTCAGGTGTAGGGGAGGGAAGTGTCAACAAGCATGTTCTGAATAGTTGCACATTCTTTACAGAACGGTATAACCTTACATTCTCATCAACCCTTCGCAAAACCGTCTGAGCCAAAGGTTTTGAAGAGTGCAGGTGCCTTGTTTGTTCAGAGTGCTCAAGAAAATTGGAAGGATAATGATTTGCTCCTTTTCGGGGGTTCCTAATTTGTTACGGAGGTGCAGAACTGTGCTTTACCTCTTAATATCTCGAGAAAATCAGGTTTTTTCCTTCTATTTTCAGTCTTCAGAGCTGAATTTAAGATTCTGGTTTTACAACAGTTGTGCTTGAAGGATTGCTGTACGTTGTAAATGTTCCTTAGGACAGCGGACTCATACCTCAACAGTTCATTTTTTCTCCTCTTCCTCTTGGCAGGAATTTTGGAGGAGGTTGGGCGACATGGGTCTTCTGGGTTTGACTGTCCCTGGTACGTCAGTGTTACAGATCTTATACATGAAATGCTGTTGAAATGGTCTTCAGGGTTCACAATGCCCACTCGACTAGTCAACTGGTGCCATGTATTTGAACATCAGTCTGACAGCACTGATACAAGAACTAGTTTTATGGTCTGGTGATTATTTTTAATAAAGTCATTTACAGTTCAAATGATTCCAAAAGTTTTGGCAAAAAAGGGACTACATTTGTGAGCATAATTTGCTTTTGAGTAAAGTAACAGAGTAACTTTTGTACATTTTAAACCAAACAGTTGTGTTGGTTTTGATATCCTTTCCAGCTTAGTGAATTTTATGAGGTACTGGCCCTATGGTCCAGTGCATTTTTTGAAAGTCAATCAACCTTCGTTTTTGACATGATTCTACAACTGATAGACCAGTTTGGCAAAATTACCAGATTAGAGGCCAAATTTCTTTCAAATCAAATAAAACTCGCACAAACTGACAAACATAATAAACAAGAAGAACAGAAAGGGCTGAGTGAGGCGTAGATTTCGGGTAGCTGCTAAACTCCAAAAGTGTGCCATGCACGGATAACATTCACCAAGCAGGAGCAGAATCCCTGCCAAAACGGCCTGCAAAAATCTGGAATAAATGGTTGGATGTTATTTTCACTGTCCCTCTGTACTGCCTCAAGAGGAGTACGGCGGAACCGGAGGTACCTATTTAGACCACTGCATCGTCATGGAGGAGGTGACAAGAGGTTCTGGTGCCATAGGCCTGAGCTACGGTGCTCACTCCAATCTCTGCGTCAACCAGATTGTGCGCAATGGCAGTGATGCCCAGAAGCAAAAATACCTCCCCAAGGTGCAGTTTCTTTTTAATCGGATCTGGGCATTATGTAAAAAAAAAAGAAAGAGGGCATTTTGTTTACTTGTAACACATTAGAATTTGTTTTTAGAGTGCAATTTTGCAGCCACATAATTACATTTTTTTCTGTATTTATTCCATTGTTTAACATATCCACTTCAAAATAAATATTTTAAGGTTGGATAATCGTTCTACATTTTATAATATCCTAATAATTGGCACTGCCCTAAGCCTTGTTTGAGAGAGTTTGTCATTAATGCAACATTGCTTCGTTTGTCATCTTTGTAGCTGATCACTGGTGAACACATTGGAGCTTTAGCCATGAGCGAGGCGAACAGCGGCTCGGATGTCGTCTCGATGAAACTCAGGGCAGAATGTAAAGGTAGTCTGAGTGGTCGAGTTTCAACTCAGCAAAGGCAGGCCTTGCATGCTTCTCATGAGACATTGTCACTTGCGACTGATACATACAATTTCTGATTTGCCTGAAAATATTGGTTGCTATGTCTTGTCTGTTCCAAACGATAAAATTATCAACCCAAAATGATACTATCCACAAGTGATCATGGATCGATAGATCTTGCTTTTAGGGGCGTGATGCCCCTTGAAATGTAAATTCCCCAAAAAGTTTCCTTGGACTCATGAACAGCGATAGCTTCGGAGGATTCATAGTGCGTACTACTCAAAATGCCCAGGTAGTTTGGTTTAGTATAATTTCCCTCAGTTTTTGTCCGTTTTTGCATTTAATTTAACCAATCAAGGGGATCATTACTTACTGAATGGGACAAAGTTCTGGATCACCAACGGTCCTGATGCTGACGTTTTGATCGTCTATGCTAAGACGGATCTGTCAGCTGAAGCCAAGCACGGAATTACAACATTCATCATAGAAAAGGTAAGCTTTTTGACTCATTTATCGATGAGACGATAAACTTCTCCTGATCTGCCCAGTTGATTGTATGCACAGATGATAGAGATCAGCAGCATCCATAGGGAACAGCACTGCATTCATGCTCTTATATTTTGCTTTTGTAGGACTTTCGGACAACTGAATATTTCATTGAATAAACAATCAAATACTTGCATTGATGCAGTTTTTAATGAAGGTTTGAGGAAGTCTTGAGAGCTTTATGATGGTGTTTGTACTTGTTCCCATTGACCTCTGACCCCCCAGAACTTTGAGGGCTTCAGCACGTCGCCAAAACTGGACAAGTTGGGCATGCGGGGTTCCAACACATCGGAGCTCGTGTTTGACAACTGCAAAGTGCCGGGTAGGATATTACACACGTTCTTATCCATAGCAATCCAACTTTTCAGTCCACCCACCCTGCCCTTCAGTTGGTATTGTTGTAAAATTTTGCAGTGTTTCCCTATAAAAAGGCTCCTGTAGAAAAAACCCACATCAGCACTGGGCCACAATGGAGAGACGAAGACTCGCGCAAGTTAACATCATGTACCCACGGTGGACATTCCTTTGTTTATGTCTAGTTCTCTGGTAGATATTGCTCATTTTTTGTACACTTGAATACAATTTTGGGCTGAATTTTCATGGATGGTTTCCAAAACTGTCGCTTTTAATTGGACCCCAATATTGTGTCTATAAAAGCTGTGATTTTTTTTGGGGGGGGGGTAATATTGTGTGGACGTGGCTTTGTCCATGTAAGGATCACGTAACCCGCATTTTGTGGACCTGTTTTGTTCTGAGGTCCTCACAATGCAAAACAAACTCACCACTAGCTAACGGGCTGTGCTCATGACGTAACACGACCCTATAGAGACATCAGTGCTCATCTCTCTAAATTTCATGCCTCTGGTTCATACCTGCTTCCAGTTGAGAACGTAATGGGCCCCCTGAACAAGGGTGTGTACGTGCTGATGAGCGGACTGGATCTGGAGAGATTAGTTTTAGCCGGAGGACCAGTGGGGTAAGTCTAACTTATCTTAGTCTTCCTTTCCCAAGATCCAGACCATGTTTGGGCTTTTGTGGCGGCTGAAGTGGAGTCTTAACAGAGACGGACGTCATATGTGTCGGTTGTTTTTGCAATGCATAAACTTCATGTGTTTATTTCTTCCTCAGTCTGATGCAAGCTTGCATGGACGTCACTGTCCCCTACTTGATGACCAGAACAGCCTTTGGAAAACCAATCGGTGAATTCCAGGTAAAAAAACTCAAGACCTGTAGAGAAGACCTAAAGAGATAACAAGAGTGAGTTACTCAACTCACTGTCTGAAACTCAGTAGAATCCACCAAAACAATACATTGATTAGTAGCGTGACCCATTTTCTGATTTGCTTGGGGCTTTTGTCAGCTCATGCAAGGCAAGATGGCGGACATGTACACACGGTTGAACGTCTCTCGGTCATACATGTACAACGTGGCGCGGGCAGCGGATAAGGGTTTCGTCAGTGCCAAAGATTGCGCAGCGGTGATTCTGTACACAGCGGAGAATGCCACCCAGATGGCTTTGGATGCTATTCAGTGCTTAGGTAAGAACACAGAAGAAAAAAACAGTTATTAAAAGAAATTAAATGTAAATGAAGTGATCAGGATTTGGCATAAGTTTCCACTTTTACAACACATACGGGCTGGAGTAGTCACAAAGATACAACTTGATCACACTTTTAGTTCCAGAAATATTAGCCTTCAAGAATTTGACAATAGTTTGCTTGTCATGTGACTTGTGAGAATGCCAAAATGACGTCAGTACTCAGTGCCTGCCTTTCGATTGAATTTGATAAAGATTTTACCGAAGTGCTGTTTAGGATAAGCCGTGTGCTATGTCTATGGCTTTCTGGGTGAAGAACAAAAAACAGTTGTGAGTTTAAACCTTTTCCAGATTTTGAAAGGAATAATAACGGTAATGTATCCCGAGTTTGCTGATTACTCTCTTTCTTTTTGCCTTGATCAGGCGGGAATGGTTACATCAATGACTACCCCACTGGAAGACTGTTAAGAGATGCCAAGCTGTATGAAATAGGGGCGGGAACAAGCGAGATAAGGAGGCTAATTATTGGCCGAGCTCTAAATGCCGAGTATAAATGAGCTTTGAATATTCATGCTTCATGGGTGTCTCAATGCTGATTGCTTGAAAGTATCATGTATGAACAAGGGGGCGGAGCTTATGGGATATCTGCAGGGATCATGTTGGTTGTTCTAGATGTGCTTTATTTTTTGTATTCAGAAAGACACTTGTTTCTCCTCGTAACCAGTTGTTTGCATGGCTAGTATATTAATCACTTGCCAATGGTATTTTAACACCACAACTTTGTCCAAAGTGCAGTATTGCTTTACGAAAATGACAACTTTGTAGGTGACAAGACACCAGAATCACAGTCGTTTTCACAATTGGACTTTACAAACACTGAACCTTGGCAGTCATTCTTTCAACACTCGGGCGACTTTTTTTACCATTTCATCATATTTATTAAGACCCAGAGACAGTCTCGCAGAGCGTTGATTTTCTATGATCGAATGCCCAGCCGTGGCCCATGGCTGCTCTGCTGGAGTCTACCAGAATCACTCAGCGAGCAGACAAGCACGGACGTCACCAGGCACTGCCAACTAAAAAGAGGATGAAAATTGGCAATTCCAACGAAAATGTCTTTGAAATTTGCTGGTGCTGAGTGCTTTGCCCCCTGAAAAAAATCCTACCCCGCGACGGCCACGGCTGTTAAAGATGTTTTAAGTTTTTCTGCATGACAGTTATTTTGTTTCCTTCAGGAAGGGATGCCGGTATATTTTCCTTTTCGTGTGACATGTCCGATTGCGACGAACTAGTAACCTTAAAAGAAGTGCCAAAATGGCCTTTTATGTTTTTTATTTAAAACTCTAGTAGGAGTCTTCGGTAAGTTCGGACAACTGAAAAAAGAGCCGACAGATGTACATCTATTTGTAATCATGATCGAGCCTGAATCGTCAATTACACATTGTTCCAAGCACGTGGAATTTATTTCTTGGGAGGTGAAAGATTCGCCAGTTGCTTTGTGGGTATGAAGAGTGAGGAAGTCGATGTGGAAGACATTGGTAATTCAGAGATTTTTTACTTGTCAGATTGAAATTAAAATCTTAAGAATCCTGAAGAAAAACCGAGATGGTTCTTGTACAGTGTACTACGTTTCCACTTATCGTTCACGGGGAACACGGAGGGGACAGAAGGAATGATCGAAAAAGAAACAGTGGTAATAACCTCACTCTGTAAAAAAGTTATTCATTTGTAAAGTTGGAAAAATGTATGTCAAATTACATGTATTTGATATAATAAAGACAGGAATATATTGGATAACTTGAAAGCTCAAAAGTTGAACACATCTGACTACCTGTAATGTGGTTATATCCATAAGCTGGTATGTTGTGAATTAATTATGACAGTTTTGGGCAAGTTCGAACGATGACTGCAGTTAACGCGAACGATGGATGATTTAGACTATCTAGTCGACCATTTGGGACCAGGCTCAGGGATGTGGTCGCACCGCCGCGGGTTATCAATAGCCGATTTCATTTATCATGACAGAGTGAACCATTCATGTGAAAATAATCATACAACTACAAGATTTCAGTGGCCATGTATGCTGTGAGAATCGGATCCGACGTAATAGTGAGATTTTAAAAAATTGACCAACTAGGATCCTTCCAGTGTAACTGAATTGCGCATGCGCACTGTTGAAACGCTATCGACCAACCTCGACTCCAACTCGGGCGTTTCACAATAGTGCGCCTCCAAGATTTTGCAACGTGTTGGCCAATCACACTGCACAAAATTTGTCGACCCAACGCGCGTTTGGAAATGGTCGACAAATTTTGTGCGCTGTTCATTAATGGCATGGAGTGGTAGCGAGAGTCCGTGCCACAGTAGTGGGGCTAGTTAGGACTGCAGCCTCGATTTTCGGTTTCATTTCTCACTCGGCAGTTTCACACCAAGCTGTTTAATTCAAAGCTATGTAGAAGCTAAGTAGAACTTTCTCAATATAAATACAGTTGAACAGTTAGACAAAGCATGTTTCTGTTTTCTAAGCCATACTAAAATGAAACAAAAGGTTCTTTAGTACAAACGTCATTCTCTGAACTGTAAGTTAATGAGCCTTGAGCTGGATCAAGAGAGGGCGCTATTTCCTTAGCCAGAGAGAGAATCGGACATGTCCCACTTGTGTTCATAAAGCCCTAGGGCTTCCTTAATTTCATGAGTGGGTAATCGTACAATAGGTGTGCAATGTACATACATGGACATGGTGAAATTCTGAGACCGCTAACGATCTGAAACATGTTCCACTGTTTATCGTGTTGTGCTAGAATTTAATGCTTCAGGAAACTTGTGAAATACATGTTTTTATTGGCAAAAGATACCCAACCTATATACATAAAACGTACATTACGACAGCTCTGGACAAGTTCTATCAAAGACCATAGTTACATGTAACCATACTTCGACTAACTTTAATGGAACGCAAGCTACATGTAGTCGACCATGGTTGGACTAGTCTAGTCAACTATTTGCGACTAGCCCATTGTCCTTCGGCCTAGCAACCTGACAACGGTTGATTGGAGTCATTCGCACTTCCACTTCACTGCACATGCGCTAGGCATATCACGAACCAACTGGTGGTTCTTCATCGAACTCTCCAATTGGTACAACAAAACTAGCTTGTCTGGTGAACTGAGGAGGGAACTTTTATCCAGAGTCAACGAGAGTAAATAAAATACAACGCCTTAATGGATCACTGAGAGAGCAAGGTTCAGAATGGAATCTACTAGAGTGCGCCCTCTTGCGTTATCGTGTCAGCAATCTATGTACAGTTCTCAAAACACAACTCTTCTAACATTTCGCTACTTGGGTCGGGTACTGAAAAATCATTTCTTCTTGAATAAATCCAATATCACCGCACTTTAAGATATATGCACCAGGAGAGGTCATAATGACGTCATGGCAAAGAAACAATGAAAAAGCCCAACTGTGCTGACACTATGCTGCCAGTTGCTGGTTAAAACTTACTGGTACTTGCCAACCATAATAACGACAAGTAGTTTTCCTTGTCTAGAAGCTTTAAAATTAAATAGGAATTTACGTATACGAATGTGGTTTGATACATACATACATACATACATGTAATGTAAGTTACAAATAAATTACAGATTACTGACGTGTGGCTGCCACGCGCATGTAGCTATGAGGCAGAATGTTAACCAGGAAAATCATGGCTGAAGACCAGGCTCTCATCTGAACTGGCAGCCTTCGAGCATGTCGGCAATATACAGCATCCTACACCTCTTTAGGGCCTCCACCAGTGCCGCCTTGGTTGCCTGGCAACGCATCTTCTTCTTCCATAGCAGCAGGCACTGCATGGCCTGCTCCCGCAGGTTCCTCATGTGGTCCTCCGAGATGCGTACGATCTCCGACTCGGTCAGGTGGAGTTTACGGGCCAGCTGCCGCCAGTCCCTTCCGATTTCCTCCGCGACGATGTCGAAGACCTCGGACAAATCTGCAGACAAACAGATTGGAAAGGGTTCTCAGTGGATGGAATAACCTTCATCCCAGGAAAGAGCTGTTGATAAACTTAGAGTGGCAATAACCTTGGGCATCACCAGGACTTGGGGGATAAGGTCTTTTTTTGGGGGGGGGGAATTTGGGAAGCACTCAACTGTAAGAAAACTGATGAGTGACAGTGGAAGGTAATTTGAAGCAAATTGGTGATTTCGCCCCCCTTTCATATCTTTTTTGTTTCTTTCTTTGTGTTTTTTCTCCTGCTATGTTTCAATTTGTTTGAATTTACAAAGTTTAATATCTGAATCAGCAATCAACTGACCTTCACCCAAGGTGTTCTCTCTTACTTGCTGGATCATACCTGGTGAAAAGAATGAATTCATTTCCTTTGTGAAAAGAATCGATCAACTCTCAGTGACAAAATGCCCCTCCCTAATTGTTACCAGAAAAAGGTAAACTCTATGGTTCACCTCAAGAACTTATGTTAAAACTGTAATGCCCTATTGAGCAGTGATGTAGTTGAGACCATCACAAGACCAGACACAAAACCAGGCACAAGACCAGACATAAGACCAGACACAAGACCAGGCACAAGACCAGGCACAAGACCAGACACAAGACCAGACACAAGACCAGACACAAGACCAGACACAAGACCAGACACAAGACCAGACACAAGACCAGGCACAAGACCAGACACNCAAGACCAGACACAAGACCAGACACAAGACCAGACACAAGACCAGGCACAAGACCTGACACAAGACCAGGCACAAGACCAGACACAAGACCAATCACAAGTAACAGGGTGAACAATGACAAATGAAACGCCTTTGTTGCAGTTCATTTGAATAGCTTGTGACTTGAGTTCGGACTGGAGGTCTTAAGTGGTCTCGACTACAACACTGCAGTTGAGTACCGACGTAGTACGTCACGCACGCAAGTAAAAGTCATTAGTGCATGAACCAGTGTGTGAACCCACACGCGCGTGTACTTTATTCTTTTGCTTCAAAGGATGCCACACTTTGGTACCCTACAAGCAAATAATTTGACCAGGAAGTGCTACAGTCAAACCCATTTCTGTGAGGGCTTTGGGTTACAAGAAGGAACTTAAGACACAAACAGGCTCATTTGCTGCTGGTCTGGCCAGAGTTAGCACTTTTTATATCGCTTGTGAATAGACCCGAGGACACCTTTTGTGCTTTTATTGTTACTGAATTAGCATAACAATGAACAGTCTGAGTATTTATCATGCATTTAGGCATATGGGCTTCTAGGCAAGGTTTGCATGCTATGTCTCGCTTTCCTTCCAACTCGTCATAGAGTTCGGACGATGCTGCCCGGATACTAACTTGTACACGGACCTCACCTCTGATTTTCATTAACTCGGCAACTCTGAACTCAAAATCTCTCCAGATCCAGATCCCAAATCTTTTTGAATCTCAAATTTCCTGATCAGAAAAGATTTCTTTGAGAAAGAATTCCGTATCAGAATTTCAAATTCAAAATCACAATTTTGGAATGTTGAAAATACAAGATTGAAAAGGGGTGCCTGTTCATTTTAAGGAAATTTCTTGCTAAGAACAGGGGGTTCAGTGCTTAAGGGGAACAGGTTCAAGAAGTACGGTAAGCCTGTTTGTGCCGCTCAAAACTTGTTAGGGTTTGATACAGAATCCTTCCTAATGACAAAAAGTGCACTCCTTATTTATGAAAGTGGGGAAAACCTGGGGAAAAAAGATGAATGTTTCAAAATCGACGTCGACCCGCACCTCTGTGTTCACGCGCACGGGATGCTCCTTGCTGGACAAATGCACCATCGGGATAGTCTATAGGCTCATGGGTGCCAGCATGCATATTGGTGTCCATTATGGGGGGTGCCATCCTGTTCCCAAGACCCTGTGTTACGGTATTGGCAAGGGCCTGATAAGCTGGAGTGTCCGTCATGGTCATCAACCTGTACAGGCATCCGTTGACCAATACTGGGACCCTCAAAGTTCCTCAACCCACACTGGTACCGTTCCAGCAGGGCTATGCAGTCCTTCCGATGCACCATGTCCAGAAGTACCCTAAGGAACCCTGTGTCATCATCAGAGAGAACACCCCGCTCTTCAAGTTTTTCAAAGAACTCAAGTGGTTCCTCCACCTCCAGATCTCGCTTGGTCATCCCATCGACGCATTTGCAGATGAAGCGAATGGATCTCATGTCCGTGTCGGTCAGTCTTCTCCCAATGTCACTGAGAGTTTGGCGGTACTGTAAGCTCTGGAATGCAGAATTAACCAAAAAAAACAAGAGAAAAAAAGAGAAGCTCTGAATATTAAAACTTAGATTGGGAATATAAAATCTGTGAAATCAATACAGCTATGCAGCAGGTCCAGAAACTGCTATGCTTATCATGTGATAACGTAGATTACTCCTAGAAAGTTCTAAGGGAAAAGTATGTGTACATGACATACAAATTCATTTCCTCAATTTGCCATAAACATGATAAATGTCACCACTCTGCAATGTGAGGGAAGGTTCTAAAAACTTCAGTTTGAATGGTTTCGAAACAGTCACTATTTCATTTATATCATATCCACTGGCTGATCTCAGCATCTGTACTTCTGTTCATATCTGTTTCTGTATAAAACTTGGCAAAACATTCAAAATAAGGAACATCGTACCACTTGTAAGAGTCACTTCAAATTTAAAAAATTAAGAGATCGGAAGCTTTGGTCACACCAAACTTTTATAGCTCCATGCACCAAACATCGTCAGATGGTTCAACCTGCGAGTTGAGCTTATGTGTAGGCTAACTGAACTTGGCTACTTACTTTTAGCGCCATATTTCGTGTAGTGTTCGTTTACATCGATCTACTGTCGTAGCTTTAAGGGCCATGTTCAGATTCTTCGAACCATTTTGGTGTAACTGTTAGTCTTACTGCAATATCAGCATAATGAGGTAGGCTTCCTATTTAGGAAATTGGAAACGTGAAATGTTACACGAACCCTCACGTTTCAAAATACGTGTAATTTCGGTTGGTCTTCGGAATTCCCCGAATTCCAATTATAGAATTTAGTCACCATGTATGACGTGTTTGAACCGCTTAGTCTTGAACCAGACGTCAGTACCGTCACTCATAGTTCTGATTCTTTTTTAACGCGCCCTCTCGAGATCTCACGCAGAACTTTATCGCGATCATTTCTGAGTCGATAGAGGGCGCACTCTGCACAGTTAAGGTCGAGAGCAAAATGCTTAGTTGTGGGCCAATGGGCTTTTGCCGGGTAAATTGAGCCCAAAATTATATCTTAGGTACCAAATATGGAATCGACCACCAATTAAAAATAGCATTCTTGCAGTTCCAATTGCTTTTAGAAGCGATCTGTCGCTGATCCAATCACAGCAGCGTACGTATCTTTGTCAGTGTCAAAGGTCACTCGCGCTTTGGCTACTTGTACTTAGCTAGCCCGCCGCGCTGATACGGGAGTCCTCGTTCTACTGCCATGTGCTAGAGTTTACGCGTACAAAACCCTTGGAGTTGGGGAAGTGAAACTTATCGTGTTTGTCATTTAGCCACAATGACATCCGTCGGTTTAACTTTTGTGGTGATTTGCGCCTTGGCCAGTATCTGCGGGGTCGCTCAGGCAAAGGGCAAATATGCAGAAAGCGCAAATACCCAGGACAACGTCAGCGACAGGTTTCGGACCAGGGTCGTCCAGCAAGTTTGGGAGAAAGCTCACCGGGTGAGTGAGTAAAAACTTCTCCATCATGTCCATGTCCCATGCGTCATGTGTGTTGTACTGCACGCCTGGGAAGGCTTGAAGCTGAGTAAAGTAACTCAGATGTTGTTTTATTTGAACATGTTGAATACCAACATACTTGAACCATTTTTTACATGTTTAATACTACTTACACGTACACCTGGATGTCAACGTGACTGCATGTACTATATAGGCCCATGAATTTACATAGGCTTAGCACAACATTTCTTTTATTTAGGCATATGGGGGCCTAGGCCTACTTGTTAGCAATCCAGTGACTGACTGTTTAAAACTTGTAGACCTAAGCCCTTTGCCAAAAGACAACAGTTTTGTTTTGAAATTTTAGAATTTCAGGTTAATGATAGATTAGAGGAAGAAAAACCCGGACCACATGAACTAGTTACTCTTAAAAAGTGTTCTTAAGGCATGTAAGGAAAAAGTGTCTACTCACATATTGCCTTAAAAGTTAAACATTTGCAAATGAGATGGAGTGACAGTGCCGAAAAAGCCTTTGACCATGTCAATGTTACGCCCCAACTATAGCGTACATGTAAGTCCCAACTATAGTTTGGACAGTCCCAACTGTAGTGCTGCAGTTGGGCTGGCCCAACTATTGTCGACCAATGTCTGTGACAAATGTCTCAACATTATCCAAGTCAATGTGTCTCACACTTGACACATTTCAATTAAAATGTGGCACTTTATCTGTTCATCTAGCCCTATGACCAATGACATGACATTTGTAAACAATATGACTTTGGCACATGCTGGGCACGTCATGCATACAGAACCTCTCTGCTGTAGTTGGGCCGGCCCAACTGTAGCACTCTAGTTGGGACTGGCCCAACTATAGTTGGGACTGATGCTATAGTTGGGGCGTAACATCAACAACTAGACTGTGATGGAGGTATGACTAATCAGATTGTAGCAAACCTCGCTGTTAAATTGGTGGCATACATTGCCCAGATTGTGGCATAATGTTAACCCCTTCGCACCGGAAGGCGGCTAGACACGCTGTAAAAATTGAGATCCTCAGCCTGCTTTTCAGCTATTATTCTCGGCCCACACTCGAGCGAACACGGTGAAAGAAGGCAGACCCTGGCTCTTGTATATATGGTGATTGGCCTTTGTGTGTAGCCCAGAAATGAAAAGACTAATTTTGCATCATAATCACCAGCTTCACAATAGTCCCCACTTTGAAAAGAGGCAACAGGAATGTGGAAGGGTGAGTAGAGCCGCATGCCACCGAACAATCAGCCTTTTCACAGTGTAATTCAAAGCGTGCAGAGCATGCAGGGCCACAAACTGAGAATTTGCGGTTTAGCAGGTGGCCTTTGTGGCCAAGCGAGGCTGGAATTCTTGGAGTCGGCTTTCGGGAAGAAATTCCCGTCGTCAAGGGGTTAAGGAACTGACACATTTTCATGTTTGGTGTCCAGCAGATACAGACACGAGCGTAAATTCTCTGTAAATTCTCTCGTCAGATGAACTTTCCGCCAAAGAAGCTAGAAGAGCTGAGTCATGTGTTGCAGCAGCACGACGTCAAGATGCTGCAGCTCAAGAAACACCAGCAAGACGGTGGCGATCCCGAAGGAGAGACAGAGGCCCTCTTGAGGCGAAGGTTGTCAGGTGATTCTTAGGGCTTTCACTCTTTGTAGCCACTGTTTTCCTACCTGTTTGAAGTATGCCAGACACAATAGGTGGGTTACGTATTGTGCCCACCTAAAAAAAGCTTCCGTAACTTTTTCAAATAGTCTTTTTCAAGCATCAAGCGCATCAGCTTAGTAATCCGGTCATAACAGTGCGATAATGCCAAGTTAATAAGTAAAAATGTTCAAAATGAAAGCATTTGGGGGAATAAAAATGAACATTTCGAAACTTTCAGAGTTTACCATGGCAGCGCATGATGGCTACATCTGGCCTTTGTGACGTGCCTGAGTAAGGAATAAAACATCTGTTTGTCCAAATGCAAATAACTGCGTACAAGTTTTATACACAGACTTTTTCCCTGCTTATTGTTCGGGCATACTCATCAGCGAGCTTGTTGTTTTGGAGGGAAAAATAAAGAAAGAGAAACTGAAAGTAAATAAGAAAAACCTGTCTGCTGCCAACGAAAAATTGATAAATGATCGTTCAGAGATTGAGAAAAAATGAACCCAAGCCAATTGGATTTACAACGAGTGTCTAACTTATGGAGGAGGTATATGTATTTTATAATTTTTTCCTGAGACATTCCCGGATCCACTGAAAAGGCCTTTACAGAAACTCAAAAACCAAATTGCAGTAGTAAGTCGTATTTTGTTTTTATTTTATTGGGGGGTTTGGTTTTGCATTCCAGACATCATGCGGAAGTTTGGAATCATTCCCCCCGAGGGCGAGGACCCCAGACGGGCGAAAGATTTTGGCCAGAAGAGAGACATGACGGGGGAAGAGTTCAAAGACCACCGGCTAAACAAACTGTGGATGAAAGCGCAGCAGTGTAAGTTGGGTGACCCAATGTACGTAGATCCGTGCCAAGTGCAGCTGGAACATGCTAGTCGCCAAATATATAGCTTATTCCTATGATGTTCCTTTTAAGAATGTATCACTGAGGAATTCCGTCCTCTGTGAACAAAGCTACATGTAAGCATTCCTCGGTTTGTTGTAAAGCAAAGAATTCTATATCAGATCATCGTAATTTGGAGTGCCCTAAACAGCAAGTTCACCCAACTTTATAACCTATTCCCCCTACTGAACCCTTTTTCGTCACTGAAATGCCCAAGAATAGGAACAAAACTGAGCCTATTGATGTTCCTTATTTGTGACCCTAAAAATTGTGATGGACCAGTGTGAAAGTCTCACGCTCACACACCTACATGTTCTTTACATCCGAGGAATTGGCGAGAACATGCTGAGGCCCTTTTCAGCCCGCCTTCAGTATGCTCTCCGCCATCCTCCTGTGTGCAGCTCTTGCACATCTATCTGTCGCTGGAAAAATGCCGCGCTTTGCCCAGAAACATGCCGTAACAATTCCAAGAATGTACGGTGATTGCCAGATTGTAACGGGCAGTGATTTTTTGCTTTGAATATACATGTACATGTACCATTTCAGGCCTCAAGTTTATTTTAAATTTTCATAATTAAATCAGGAAGACCTATTGTGACATGCAGTTTTGCTTTCCCCATTATAAAATTGCTCATTTTGCAAATAGTCCCTTCCCCAGTCTTTCAAACCGTACCAGTGTCAGGGGGCTACTGTCAATCTCAACTGGTGTGTTATTAATTTCGCTTTGTGTCAGGAATGTTTCATTTATACTAGGTTTTTGCCCCTATACCGACATCTATATTCGCACGGTATTTGCAGTCTGGTTTGAAGCATTGCCAAAAAATTGATATTTGTTCCATCACTGTTTTAGGACAGTGACACCACCCTAACAAATTTATAGCCAGGCAGATAATACCAGTTTTTGTGCGCATTCTGTTAAAAATTGGCTTCATCCACTCTTGCGCAAAAACTTGCATGAAAATGTTGGCTTGTAGTTTGCGTTTGAGTGGGACTTAAAGGGAAATCTACACTTCCTGACTGGATCCTGTAGGTCTGTGAGCCCTCATACTTGGTCTTTGTTTGTTCTTTTTTTTCTTTAATGTCGAATTTGTTTCTGTCGTTGAGGTCATTTGCTTTGATATCGTAGACCCTGTGCAGTACCTGTGGCTGCAATGGATTTGTGTGATCCACTTCGCGCTGGCATAACCAAGTCGAGTTGTTAATACACCTGCACTAGTAAACTGGCAGTCATAGGTTCGAATCTCAACCAATTAAGCCTGTGAATTTTTGGCAGCTCTCTTAGCCCACACTGAGAAAGGGAGAAAACAGTTTAAGCATGCTCATTGATGTCAGGGCGAAGCTTAGAATAAACTTGAGTGGCTTTACCAGGTGAATCTGTTTCGTGTTTGTGGCAGCCCCCAATTTCAACACGCTGGAGCTAGATCAACTCAAGGAGGAGTTGACCCACCACCAAGAGAAAGTGAACCAGTTTGAGCAGCTCTCCAGTCAGCTGTACAGCGACAGTAGGTAGCCACTGAACAATATTTCCCTCTGCTGCCAGTTGCATTATCCTGGGTTTTTTTTTTTTTTTTATATTGTTGGACCTGTTTCTAGCAGCCTGGTGCTCAATCACTGTTTTCTGTCTTGAACCCGGCCTTGTGTGTATTATTCTCACGTGCATGTGTGGTGTGTCACCTCCTGGGTGTGGTGCTCTGAATCCGAAAATGGTGATGTGGCCAATCTGAACTTTGATATCGGTGTGTCCAGTCTCAGCTTTAAAGGGTTGTGGCTACTCTGAACCATGAAGGGTTGTTTCCAATCTGCACTTGAAGAGGGTGTGGCGATTCTTGAGCGTGAAAGGGGTGTGGCCAATCTTAAATTATACATGGGTGCAGCCACTTTGAATCTTAAAGGGGTGTAGCCACTCTGCACTACAAAGGGGTGTGTCCAATCTGTACTTTTTAAAATGGTATACCTCCTCTTGACCTTTAAAGAGGTGCGGCCACTCTGAAATCACACATGGGTGTGGCCAATTTGAACTTTAAAGGGGGGTAACAATCCGAAGTATAAAATGGTTTTTTCACCTCGAAGCCATGAAAGTATGTGAAACGCTCTGAATGTTGAAGGGGTGTGGCCACTCTGACCATAGCACAGTGTGATTCTGCCCGGCCCAATGATCACCACCATAGGATAGGCTATTTGTCCTCCTCTCCCTTGTCAGCCCAATCCCACTGACCGATCATTACTGCTTCTGCAGGAACCAGAGATGCCAATCGGGTCGACAGGGACAAGAAGACGATGGACCCAGACGAGCGGTCAGTCCTGGAGCTGGACCTGAAGATTCAGCACCGCGAGCTGACCAACGACTTCCAGCGCCTGTCATCCAAGCTGGTCCCTGACCAGCACAAGGGGGAGTTCCAGGAGCCCCGGGTCGTTAACCTCTGGCGAGAGGCTCTGTTTGCCAATTTCACCGAGGAGGAGCTGGAATCTATAAGCGTGAGTGGTTTCATTTTCATGGTGACTGTGTGTGTTCTTTATTCAGTTGGGATTTCCTTTGACTCTACTTTTTATTTGAGGATTTTTTTTACCTTGAACTGTGCTTTTAGTGGTTTTAAATCAAGTTTTGCTAAGGTTTTGTATGCAGGTCATGTAGGTTGTGCACAGCAGCCATCTTTGAGGTCAGTGCTTTTGTTCCACAGGGATACACATGAATAGACCTTTTGTGCACATCCCTCCCTAACAAAAGCATTGACCTGAAAGATGGGTGCCATGCACAGCATCTATTTTGTATAAGTAACCACAGGCAAGATTATTTTTATAGTTTTATCCTCAATTGTCTTATTAAAAACCCATTATTGGAACGAGATTTGAAAATTGAGAAAAAGCAAAATGTGTACTTGTCCTAGTTGCATTAAAACTAATGCGGCTTACACTTATTCCCTTTTTCTCGCAGACGGAACTGAAACATTTCGAGGCCAAGCTCACCAAGTTTGAGGACTTGCAGGTGCAGTCTCTTCACGCCGAGAAAGAGTACCGGGTGGCCAAGAAACTCGGGGAGACCACCGACGCCAAGAAGCACAAGTCACTCAGGGACGAGGCCAGGGAGTTGGGGAACTCGGTAAGTTGAGGACAGAATGTTGGATTGCCGTCTTGACAAGAGGTGGACTCGACGAAGTACATGTAGGGTCAGAACCGGCGGCCCCTGGAATGTAACCAACTCAGAAGTCATCTATTTGTTTTTCCTTTTCAATTTTTCCCTCACGTTTGGGGCACAGACAGACAGTGATGATTCATGTACCTGTGTTGTCGTCATTTTACTTTCTGCCGAATGTACACAAAATCTTCTCAACTTTTCTTATAACAATAAAACATCATCTCATTCGGACGTCAGGCACTAGAGTATTGGTCATATCTTGGCATTTGACTTAATACAGGGCCTAAAAGCGAATATAAGTTGATGTTTTGCTACTTTTCCCCTCTACAAAACCTGTAAAAATGTTGCTGAAAATGTTTACATGTATCGTTATAGAGGTTGCTCACAATCAGATACAAATATGTTGGCTTGTAACTCTTCGCAAACCCCTCCAGAAGGAATATTTTAGAAGAAAATGAACCCTGAACTTTGACCTCCATTCAAGGTCACAATAGGTCAAGGGAACACATTTAAATGCCAAGAGGAATTTTGTCATTTTCTGGAGCCATAATTGACGTGAAATTTCCACAGGAACCCTAATCTATAAATTCCTCCCCCCCCCACTATGGGCCCCCTACCCCTCCCCTTTTGGGTTTGGTTAGTACGTTCATGATATTAATGGGGGGAAAATGGATTGCCCTGGGTCACAATGCACTTTTGGCTGAGTCACTTTCTCGAGTCGGCCGCGGGACGGGTTTGAGTAAGCAGTTGATCCATTCTGGACGACTGTACTAAGGTTCTTGTTCAACTGTGGCTGCAAATGCCGCCGCTAACACTGCGCTGTAAACGGCTTGTTAGAAACTGTAGCCTAAAAAATCAGGTCCGATAAATAGCCTGGGCCGTACTCCACGAGTGCTGCGGAGTAGCCAATTATTTCCTGTGTTCATTTCACTGCAGTATTTGAACAAGTGTACCAGAAAGCGTCCTGCACAAATCCAACAGCAAAAGCACATGTCATTCCATGATGAGGGTGGGATTTTGTGTATAATTTGGAAAACATTCAGAAAACTTTCCTATACCATTTAGACGTTTTAACGTGTAAACGACCCAGCCTCATATCATGGTCTCAAACCACAGTGCATTCGTCTTTTTAGTTCCCTTTGTCTTGCAGCACTGGTGTCTGCGATAAAATTGCGATGATACTTTTGCTTAGTAACAAATTGTGTTTCTACTTCGACAAAAGCCCCCAAAATTTGTACATAAGGGTTCTATTTGGGATCGTTGGTGATGATTGCTTGTATAATCTCATTTTGTCCACATAGGTTCATACATTTATGAATGACATGCGAGGCCGCATCCAACGAAACAGAGATCGTGCTGACGAACTTTAACGTGCCCTCCATGCAACGTGGCATTTGCAAAGACAGCAATCGTCATCTGCCACCGTTTACTTAGTTATGGATGCAAGAGGAATTTCTTTATATTTGACAGAAATATTGAATTGCCTTTCTCCACTTTTGTGTGTATTGATAATTTTAGCCAGCATAATAGCGAATATTTTAGATTTTTCCTTCAATCTATTTTCAGCAATTTCATTCAGCATTGCCACAATTTTGCCTTATTTGAGGCCTTGAGGTGAAGTTATTTTGGGGTAAAAAGTGATTACTTACGTAAATGAAGTACTTATAACCACTGTCCATTTACTGTCAAGTTGGAAAATTGTATTTTGTAAAAATGCAGCATTGCAACAGAAATGCTGATTGGTTGCTTTTTTTTCTTTGGACAGCCCGAATTATTTGAAAGAGCCCTCTGTTGGTCGGATCATGGTCAGTGGGAGGTTTCCACTGAAATTTGGCAATTTAATTGGCTATTGAAAGATAAGCCACAGTCATCCATATTACCACTTCACCGATAAAAGATTATTAATTTTTAAAAAAAAAGTTTTGGAGACAGGTTCCCTCTCCATATTCCCCGGCGGTGGGATTGGACCCAGCCTTTAGCGTGGGGGGGGGCACCTCCAGCATGTTGCTTCACTGATGTGCATACTGCTCGGAATAGCAAGTGGCTGTCGAGAATTTGTTACAAGGAGATAATCTGTTTTTACACGGCCTCAGGTGTAAGGGTATGCTTAATTATCAGAGGTTTTATTCTTCATCTTGTACTTAATTCACAGCTCACTGCCACAAAAGATGCGAAGTAATTGGAGTATTTACAATAATCGATATGTAGAAGTAATTGGGATAAGAGGAGGTCCGTTTGGGACAAGAGGAAGTCCCTTTGGGACAAGAGGAGGTCCCATTTCCCCTAGATTTTTAGATTTTATTTGACTTTACTAAGTCCAATTCAAATTTGATGTCTTAGTTTTTGACTTGAAGGAAAACAAGAAAGACTCACTGAAAAATAACATTGAAGGCTAATTCGGTGGGGGAAACAAAATTAAGAGTTTGTGTCAACAAGATCCGTGCGTGAACAAAAATGAAGCTTTTTCCTCCTCCAATTTCACCCATCCCCCAAGAAAAGTATTATACCCCAGGGCGGATGACATCACAAAGATGGCACCAAGAAGACTCTCTCCTTTTTAAAGAGCATCTCTAAGGAAAACACGTTTTCTCTATTCAAATAAATATGGAAGCATCCAAATCGAACGCAGTGTCATTTGTCTTCAGAGTTGAACCATAACAAGCTTAAAAGGGCTTTTTTTCTGTTCATGCCAAGATGCGAATTCTGAATGGCTACCAACAACGGCTACCAAAAATCGCTACATGCATTGCTTGGTATGCACAAGCGGTTTATCCACCACGAACACAGGAAGAGGGTCCCCTCGTTTTCTCCGAATGCATCTTTGTATGAACAGAAAAAAAAACCTTTTAAGCTTGTTATAGTTCAGCTGTGAAGACAAATGACACTGCGTTCGATTTGGATGCTTCCGTTTTTATTTGAACAGATAAAATCAGAGCAAACATGTTTTCCTTAGAGGTGCACGCCTCTGGCGAGGGTGGTACTTCTTCAAGAAGTGGATGGTGCATGTCTTTTGATTCTTGCACGGGCGCCAAGTTAGGCGATACCACTTCCTTTCTCCTTAGCAACCTTGTATGTAGGGTTTCTAGTCAAATGAAATGAATATTTATCAGAATGTAAATCACGTTCGATGACAAGTTTTCTTTGGAAAGGGCCGCTGGGTGAACAATTAGTGACGCCTGTTATGGGACACAATAATTTGATCTGGCGAGGCTGATGGCGTGATTTGTTGATGTGAAACCACGGAGAGTTTCATTTTTTTTATTTTGTCTGAAAGACACGAACTTAAAACCGCCTTTGACAACAGTCACTACAGTACGAAAGTTTTTCCTTTTAAAACTCCGTGTTCAAAATTTGTTTGTACGATTTTTCATTATACTTGTGTAGAAAAAATCTCACAACCAGTACTGCTTTTTCAGGAAATATTATTTTCTTCTTGTGTCATCAAACTTTGATACCGAAAATTTCAGAAATAGGGAATATTTCATCTGAATGAAACGCAAATCCCTTTGAAGTTGTATATAATTGTCTTTTTTCTCAAACTGCTCTGTCGAAGTAATGCATTTGTAGTGTTAAAGTCCTGCGTTTGAGGCCCTGTTTCTGTCAATATATTGTTACTCAGACAAATTTTAATTAAATATTTTCCTCCTTATATTTGAACAAAGTCCATTTTAGTTTTCTATTTTCAATTGCTGTTTTGTAGTAATGAGGAAATCGATGTTTCAGTAAACGAACCAGAAATCTTAATCAGTGATCCAACCATACCTTATGTTACTCTGTTGGTTTCCTCTCCGTTCGTTTTACGTGTGTTTAGAAGTATGACCCGCCAAAATAGGACGGGAAAATGGACTCATTTGCATACACTACACCGCGGCCATGGGACAGCTAAGTCAGGATCGTCCCGAATCGGCCGTTCAAAATGCATGTACATGCATTAAAAATTCCGGAAATGAAACACTGTGAGCCAGTCCAGAACAAATCGTCGCTTGAGTTTACCATCCTGAAGAACAGTTCGGCTTCGGAGCGGAAAAAAGAAAACAGTTGGCACGCTGCCTTGAATAGGCAAGAATAACAACCTCAGAGGTGGACTTGAAATTTTGCGATAACAAAAATGCCCTTCGGTTCCTTCATCTTGACAACACCAATATATCCAATAAGGACGGTAGCATGTTGTCCCTGAAAAGAACAATGGACGACTGAAGACGACCATTATGACAATGAACCCAGACCCGAGGCTAAATTCTGATAGAATTGACGCCATCTACCGTCGTGAATCGCATACACACCCTGCGCTGATATTTGCCATTGTTAAAGGGTAGCTGCAATCAGTTTTTTTTAACCTGTAAAATGCTCCTTTGTACCTCAGTAAACCTTATTTTTAACTTTGGTTTCACTATTTCAAAGGGTATTTTCATGCCTTTTTGATTTTTATGCTAATGAATATTCATGAGCAAAACTGTAACGTCATCTCAGGAAGAAGCCTCAATGTTACATTTGTTTGTACACAAAAAGTCCTGGCTTTTTGTAGATTTTCCTGGACTAAGTTTTCTCGTTTTTGCTGTTTCATTGTTGTTTATGTACATACCAATAAGAAACCATCAATTCCTCTCTCAGAAATGCTCTCACTTTGTAAAATCTGGCTTTACAATTCGAACATAAAATGCCTAGGCAGAATTGCTCAAAGCTTGTCCACTGACCAAAGGAAATAAAATAAAAAGGGAGAAAAGGATTTTTAGTTTGAAGTCGTTTGGACAGAATTGCAGTAAGAACTAATTAAAAAATTACCAGTCTCCACCTGGCGTGTGGAAAGTTAATTTTTTTAGTTAATTGTTCGGCAAGATGTCCCGGCAATATAATTATTAAAATCTCTTTCCGTTGTCAGTGGCCCGAACTACATGTTTTAATCGTGCAAAAATTTCCTTCTGATTATATGAGATAGTTCATTTGGAACTTGTACCTCATGCCAGCTTTCCTGCTGTAACTATAAAGAATATACGTTATAATGTCAAAGTACTACTGTGGGCATGAATGCCCCACCTGGATCCATATATCCTTGCAGAATCGGAGTTAAGCTCCCTGGTATTCCTTTTGTGTTCAACTAGAGTACCACTGGTTCTTTGGAGAACCACAAATACTCACAAAAGAGATACGTCCATGGTGCTACCGCAAACCTGCATTCTATTATACCTCTTCACCATGCAAACCTTCACCATGCAAAGACTTATCTAGATTACTCTTGATAGTCTCCTTTGTGTTAGTAGTGGGCTATAAAGGCTTAGAACACCCAGGCCAAGTAGAGTGCCATATTGACATAGTGACATAGAGCGGATGGTTTGAAGCTACGATGAACGTGCAGTAGAAACAGGAACAACCAAATAGCGCAGGAAGGTCGAGAGCTATACATGTACACGACAAGGAACTTCATCGAGCGTCCATCACCACATACCCACCATTTTTGTGAATGAGTTATCTATGCTGTCTCCTCAAATTGACCAAGATCAGAGGCTGTTTGGTCAGGCACTCTCAAGCCATCTGTAAGTTGAATACTCAGAATTTTTATTTCATGCACTGTTGTCGCTTGTCCTTAATCGTTTCTTTATTTCATGCCATCCATTGCAGAAATTTGCATGGTATCATTTGTTTTTGTTTAAAGTGGAGTTTGTGCGTTCAATATTTTCAGTTTGTTTATGCCAAAATGTATGTATTCTGTTCTTTTGGTCTCTAACACGTCGGGGTTTCGGGCTTGGTCTCAGCTCCGATGTTTTTCCCCCAAATATTTGTATAATCCGGGTTTTGTTGATTTTGATTATTATTTTTGTTAATTTTCTCGCTTTTTACAGTTTGCAAAACTACCTTTATCTGTTCAGTCCAGTTAATTTGGAATTCATATCTGTTGTTATGGACATTTTTGTTATTTATTGATTTATTTTGGAATTAAAATTTGATTTCAGAATTTTTTCATCATAAATCTGGTTGAATTGTCAGTTTGCTTATTGTTTGTCTGGTTTGTGTCATTTCTGGCTGCTGTAATAATTGAAGATAAAAAGAATGCATTCCTTATGTAATAGATCATTCAGGCAACATTATCGAAAATCTCATTCTACTTAATATAGGCTGCCTGCTAAACACGTCGATACTCTTTAGCGTCAGAAATTGCTTCGAAGGCTCGGAAGTATCTTCATTATCCTCAAAAAAACTAATTACGCACGCGATCAACTTGCCGTTGCTCGAAAATATATGCGATGGTAAAAGTATTACGTCGAGGCATGATGTTTGCGTGTTCAAACAAATTAAGCTCGTTTGATTCATTGATAGTTAACTTTACGACGTACTGCCAATTATGATAAGATAACGTATTTGAAACAGGCCTCTTCGCTCCCTCAGTCGTTGAACTCAGACCAGTTGCGACTACATAATAGGCACATTCGTCAATGTCTGCTTCCACGAGAGCCACAAATGATTTCGTTCATATTTCGTTCATATTGGGCTAAGTGCATGTACAAAAATCAATTAAAATTAGATGAATTACCACCCAGACAAAAAACAAGACCGCTGGCTTCAGCCGAGTGGCCCAGCTTTTGAAGGAAGACTCTCTCTATCCATTGTAGGCCTGCATGTCAAATTAGGATTCTTTTTTTATGACCACTGAAAGCTTCTAGGAAACAGAGTCTTCTCTGTAATGTTTGCCTTGCGTGATGTTGGCGGGAAACCTCGGGACATTATCGATATTTGCGACGCAGAGACTTGCACGTATACTGTAGAAGAACATGAATTAGCCATGTCCCCCTTTTTACTATGGGTACATATGGCAGGGCTGCAAGCCATGAAATTTCGATGTCTTTCACTGACAGTGACTTTTTTTCAATAGATTTAGTGTTCGATTACGTTTCTGCTATTTATCTTGTCTGGCTTTTGTTTAATTAACGAGGTTTTTTTTATTTAGGTTTGAACTGATATCCCTTTAGAGTTCGGAGTATTCAAAATTGTACTTTAAGACGTCAGGAATTTTCTGGCTAGCCGAGGGCACTGCACTGCTGCCGTAATGTCAATGTACAGACCTTATCAGGGTGCTGCAATGTTTGTCTTGTTCCCTGTAGACCTAATGACAATAGCAATACAACCTCGGATATTAATAAAAGGGAACAGGCTATATTCCCTTCCAGCCTCAGTTTGGTTAAATTGGTTTTAACGGTAGAAAAACAAGATGGCTGCCCCATGATAGCGGCCTGTATAAGCCTACTGACTCATCTGTTCAAACTGTGAACTCAAACTTAACTAACTAAAGCATTTCTGTGTCTGGGATGCTCTTTGGCTTTTTGCTCATATGAAAACGGGAATCCGCATGAGAAACTAAAAGGCGCCAAAATAACTTTTTGAAATAGCTAAACAAATGTTGAAAATAGACACACAAAGGTGCGTTTACAAGGGTTGTGTAAAAACAACAGCACTGCTCGAACCATTTAAATTAAACAAGACCTATATACGTTTTCACCTTAATCATCTGCAAAATATGAGAATTTGGAAGATTTGGAGTTGAGAAAAAATCGAAAATTCAAATAAAATTATCAGGAAATGAAGTTCCTTACAACCAGCCATGAATTATTCTGTTAACAGATGCAACAACTGAAAAGGACACAAAATAATCGTTTCCATCATAGTACTAGGGGTGTTTTGCGCAAATGAACAAATATTTAAAAGAATAATCTATTCCTCCCGGATTTCTCCGGAGCGGTTGGAAGTGCAAACTCGCTGCCGGGTAGTTCATTAGATTTAATGGCGTGTAATACATTATTGATAGTTTGCAGATCTCCCTGTGTAAACTGAAAGGCCTCCACAGGCAAGCCCGCTGTACCGAAAAATCTCGCGCCGACAAAAACGATCGCGCTCGCTCGCACGAAGAAGCCATGTTTGTCCGGAAAGAAATTCCCGCGCATTATCTAGTGAATGACTGGGCGATGTCACCCTACGAATCTGTTGCCATGCACCAGAGCCAAATGATATTATTACAGTGTCATGTACTGAAGTATCTCGTGCAATGATTATGCAGCTAGTTTGGGCTCTCAGGCAAGCGCTTCATTTTCACGGGGAGTTTGCTTTGGAGAAAGTTCCATATAGGCCTACGGACGCCACTTGACACCCTATGCACAAATCCTATATGAGACTTGTCTGAAAAATTCTGTTTTCTCAGTAAACGACTTGGTGGTTTCCCTCCAATGAATTGAACTTTTCTGGACATGCTTTTGCTTTCTGATGGCTATTAAGTCACTGTAGGAAAAAAATGCTGTCGTCTGTAGGCCTATATGGAACTTGCTTACATTAAGTTTTGCGATCAGGGGTTAGCAGAAGCGCACGGTAAAATAACGGCAGAATGATGCTAGGAAACTGTATTATACGCAAATACGAGGTATAGGTCTGGACTTCATATTTTGATGTAATCTGTTTGAAATCTCATTCCACATTCTAGCTGCCGCATTGACTCAGCCTTCGAAACCATGTAATTTACCAAATCTCGGCTTCGCCTCCGTTTCGGCTCCATCTCGAGCTCCACTGTAATTTGCCAAACGTTTAGGCTAACTGGAACCAATGCAAAAAAAGTTGTCATCTCTTTAACGAAAACAGTCGTGAGCTCACAAATTAACTCGTGTTTTTGAAAAAATTGAATTAGGCATCGCTAGTGTGTGGACTTAATAAAATCTATCTATTTATTGTGTGGCTGCCAGCATTGTTGCTACAAACCTGCTTTATTGCATTAAAGCCACTCTCCAAACATAACTTATCTATGACGATACCATAGAATTCTCGGTCCCATTCTCTTTGCAAAAGCCGCCCCTCAAATTCTGTTCAGAACCCTGGATGCATGACCCGTTTTGGTCACAAACGTGGCTTTTATGTTTACGCCCAAAGTGCCATTCATGTTTTTAGTCACAGGTTCTGCATGTTTAACGGAATTACACAGGTAATAGAAACCACGAGATCCGTGATAGATTTAACGACAACTTGGGCCCGATGCTGACACGCAACCCTTGTATTGCTGAGACAAAGCCTTTTACCTCACGGAAGAAACTGCTTCTTATTTTTTTCCTGGAACGTGAAACTTTTCCCATGAAACCGACGACACAAAGGATTGTTATGTCTCTAGAGAAAACGCAGCAAACGATTTTTCAAGAAAACTACCACAACCACGTATCATTAAAACCACAATATCATATATTACTGATTGTACCCTTTAAATTATCCACATAGCTATACGCAAGAATAAGTAGAGTTCCCATATTTGAGCAAAACAGAATCGATTTTGCAACGACTGATAATCGACTGACTCTGAGCGAGTCAGGTTTAATCAGGTCGCGATATTAAACATATCCCACGTTCTCATTTCACGATATACATGTACAGCGTTACACGTTTTAGTTTTAAGTTCAGTCCTTTTAAGAAAAGGATGGTTGTCCAAAACTGCTTTCTCTAACAAAGCTGCAAAATTGGACAACATCTCGGTTCGAACGCGCAGTCTAGAATTAAAACATGGAAGCAAAGTCAAGGAGATAATACGTTGAATGCCTAATTGATGTTGATCATTCAGCCAACCCCTTAACATCCGCTCCTTTGAGATGCGGGCTTTTTTGAAATGATAGGTGTAACCCCCCAAGACCTATGTGCAAATACGAAACACAGATGGTAAATATTCTACCAAAGGAATAAGGGGAGCTTTCAATAGTGCGCCACCAAGAGTTTGCAGCGCGTTGGCCAATCACAATGCGCGAAATTTGTCGACCCAATGCGTGTTTGGAAAGGGTCGACAAATTTCGCGCGTTATGACTGGCCAACACGTTGCAAACTCTTCATGACGCACTATTGCGAATCGCCTGTATTCAAAGTAATACCTGCTCGGGAAATGTAGAAATACATTGTTAATTATTACTATACATACTATGCACGTGTTGATTTTACAATTACTGAATGACACAAAGATATAAATCTTATACCGTTCTTCCTAATCGCCTTATCCCTTTTATCACGAGCACAATTTTTGTTATTTGACAATATGAAAAGCCGATGAAAATGACAAGGATAGATGAAACACGAGGTACAACCATATAACTCACCTTCTAATATTATTGTCGGCGAAGAACCCTACAATTTCGAGCAAAAGAATGATCTTTGGGATAACGTGCAACATTAGAATTTTTGTATGAAACCTAAAGATATGATTAATATGTGACATTCCATAAATCGGCAAAGCTGTTTTAGCCAAAAGTTTGTAACGTCAAAAGAAATGTTTTTTTACTATCACTTGCCAGATTTATAAAGTGAAACGCTTTTGGTGCATTATCTTTGTGATACACGCGCTGATATCGTAGAGATATCCGCCTCGTCCGGTCTTCCGTCAGACCTGCCAAACAGTTTCTTCAAGCCCTTTCGAAATTGCCTGTACTTCAAGCCGTACACGATCGGGTTGGCGCACGAGTTGCACACGACCAGGGCCAAGGAGACGATGTACAACGCCCCGTTGAGGTCGATCGGAACCCCGAGCAAAAACAGGCTGAAGATGGCGGTGTTGGGCGCCCAGCAGATCACGTACACCACGAAGACGACGACGAGGGTCTTGAACGTGTTGCGCCTGGCGCGGGTGAGCGAACCGTCGATGGTGTTGACGTCCACTGTGGAGCCGCGTTGGGATGAGGCGGATGCCGAAGGCGCCACCGCAGCAACGCGCCGAGCGCTCCGTTTGAGGGTGACGGCTATGTGAGTGTACGCCACGCACATCACTGTCACCGGCAGCAGAAAGTTCATCTGGAGGAGCATAAAGGCGCTTATGACGGGGGGCTCGGGAAGGGTGTAAGACTGGCAGGTCCCGTTGGACTCGGAGTAGTTGACCCAGACGAGGTTGAAACCAGACGACGCGAAGCCATACCCCCAGCAAGCCGCGATCAAGACCGCGGCCAGCCGCTGTCCGAAGTACGCCTGGTGCTTGAACGGGAACACAATAGCCACGTAGCGTTCCACAGTCAACGCCATCAGATTGGTCGTGGACGTAGCAAAAGATGACCACAGGAAGAAGCGAGTGACCCAAAGGTAGCACAGGAGCAGTCCAGCCAGCCCAGGCGGCATCCGATTCGGGAGATCGATGTTACTGACCAGTAAGAGAAGAAGAGACGCCACGAAATCCACGACAGCCTGGTTGAAGATGAACGCGTTAGTCAGCGTGTGCATGACAGGCACGCGCCAAATGACCACACACACCAAACAGTTGCCCAGAATGCCGATAAGTCCGACCAGGGACTGGATCACCCGCAAATAAATCACCTCTTCGGACATACTTGTGAGTCCAGTCACTCCATCAAAAACAAACTGAACCTTAGAAGTTGGTCAATTCTACTCTCGGGTAATTCGCTCTCTGCTAAGCCGAAATGATGAGATGCCGGAGTACTGCAACTGTGCACTTCCTCAACATCACTCGGAACACTCTTGGGAAAAAAACCCGGGAAGATCAATTTCTCTCGTCGACATTGGAAACGCGCGGTCATGCCAAAGCGTATTTTTTCGGCTGGGTGGTTTTTCTGACTCAAGCCCGTCCTCTGGGCATTCCGTATGACAAAAATCCTAAATCGAAATGAGCGAAACGCATCGTTTATGATGGAATTGAGTGTTCTCAATGCATAAATCCAAGAGTGCGTGTCATTAGATATCAGTCCGCAGTAAGGGATGATAGTGGATTGTTGTGAGAATGAAAGCTCTTACACACAGAAACTTTGGTATTATCCCGTGGCAATTCTCTACGGCAGCCGTTTCCGGAAACAGGGACACGTCCCACACGGAGCCCCTAGCGTCTTAGGAATAAAAATCGCGAAGACAAAGTCTTGGCACAGGTACTCAAGGACCTTCGATGAAAAATCTACTCCTGGCTTGGTCACAAATTCCACTCTCGCGATGATTCAAGAAATGGAACTCTTTTTGGCAAACCGCATTTAAGTCTCTTTACTTGCGACTCGGAGAAGCTGAAAGTCTGACGACGTTGTTTACAGGTACAAATTGAATTTTTTAGTTACTGCAATTTTCAAGTTCTCTTCAGTTTCGGCACTTGATCTGTTATCAAAGTTGAACCCACGAGAAGAGTCGTTCAAAGTGGCACATCTGCCGATCGTTTCGTCTTGTTTAATCATCTGCTTTCTGTGTAGGGCCACTGCGCCGAATTGCAAGTAGCCATGGCTTGTATCAGTTTTGGTATCGTCGCAATGCAACTTGCTCCGGCATTCAGGTTGTTCAAATTCCGCACGAGTTTATCTTAAAGACAAACCCCAGCTTTCTGCACGTACGCTGTCCCGATTCAGGTGGAGGTGTTAGCATGCAGCAGGAAGCTAGAACACGGACGATTCTTTCACCCGTAACCAAGGGGATTATTGATGCGGTGTCGGAAGTTCTCAAAGACACCGCCAGTCAGTCATATGCATTCGATGCAGGCTTTTTCACAGCTACGTAGCGGCTGGCAGTATTTGCTCTCGTGGCGATATCAGCTAGGCCACGCAAGGCTCTCTTGGCTTACCCCCTCTTGAGTTGGATCGATTATGTCTTGAATGACCAGTCTGTTTTCGTGACATATAACCCAAGGCCATATTTACGGAGGTGAGAAGCGTTGAGTGGTCTGTATCATGTTCATGTACTCAGTGTCACTGCAATTGTATAGCTCTTACGGCGTCAGGACTCCAGCTCATTCATCAACACTTTTCGACTCTCAGCCCTTCGGCTCTAACTGTCCAACTCGTCCAAGCGTTCACGATAGTGTGCTTGGTGTCCCCTAACGGTCGAAACGTCTTTTGCTATGCCAAACGAGCAACCGGCAAAGGTAGAGCAGAAAGGAACGAATGAAACAAAGTGTGGTGTTCTCGCAGTGATATAATGACATGCGGCACCGGGTCGTGACGACGAACTGCATTTGGCGTGTGGGCCCCTGATGCAGCGCAACTATTAAATCCTTGGCCCAGGGACGAGCCAAACAAATACCCTCTCCTCCTGTACATCACAGGAACGCCACATCGCGAAATGTTTGATTTTCTCGCCGTCCTCAATTACAGATGTGCCTGTGCTGCAAGCGTGATTGCCTGGATACAGGGCCACAACATCGCGGACCATTTTTCTTTTGCTCACACCTATTCGCGGTAACCTTTGGTATTGATACAATTTTGAGGGAGTCACCGTACCGTCTCCATGAAAAAATCCACTTCACTTACTGGAGATCTTTTAGCGCGTCATCAGCAACACGAACACTATTTCGGGAAAGCGTACAGTGGCTCAGAATGCGGCTCGTGAAAACTCAGTGCGAACTTAGCGGTGGCGTGACTAGGCATTCGGGTCAGGATATTCTCTGAATACGCACAATGTGCAGTCTTGACAACTTTAACCTAACTGACCCAGTGTTTAAGGACCGTCTTAAAGCCGGGGAGGGTGGGTTCCACCCCGTCCCCCAGAAAAACGTCTGTCTTTTAAAACTTGACATGTGTGGTAATACACTAAAATAAGTGATCCGATATAATTGTTTTGTCATGGCCGTTGCATTTCAAGGCCAAACGCGTGTCGGCCCGTGTAAATCGAGCACGCCACTGAAACCAGTATACATTTTGCTCGACTTCTCTCGAAAAAACTGGGGGGCAGCGTATGAACATAAGTTTCACAATAGTTTGCCGCCAAGAGTTTGCAACGCGGTGACCACTGTATGTGTTTTTAGTGAGTTGACACCTCCAGACGTTGTCGACCGGCGTTTGGAAAGGGTCGACACATTTCGCGCTCTCTGATTGGCCAACGCCTCGCAAACTCTTGGTGGCGCACTATATTGTGAAACGCCCTGTATTTCTACAGAATTGGTGTCAAAATGACAGCAAGATTTACTCAAAACCCCCAAGACTCTGCGCGTGAAAAACTATTAAGCACTGCGACGATATCGCAAAAACTGAATTAAGAGGGATGGACTCATCTAAAAAACTGAAACCCCCCCCAAACAAAACAAAACAAAACAAAACAAAAACAAAAAACATTCTATCGGCTTATCATCGTGAAAAACTGAGGCCAACCTCTTCACGAGAGTCGACAGGCAGCGCTATTTCAGTCCGATTTTGCTCTGTTTTCTGTAGGTGCGTATTTGGTGTAGCGCAACCTTGACGTGACGTACGTGGTTTAGTCTCAAAATGGCTGTGCCGACATTTTATTGAGGGCGCACTTCACAAAACACACCCGTACAGTTGATTTACTGGCTGATCATCCAAAGCAGGCGCGCAGTGGGGGTGAATTCCTTCGAGAGTTGGAAGCATTAAAACTAACTGCACATTTTAATACTTTAAAGTCCTTCATTTATGCATTGTTCGAACTACATGTAAAGAAGCCATGTCAGTAAGTTTTCACTGTAAATTTGAATCGGATAAGCGCTCCAAAACAAGCCTAAACTATGACTGGTTTTTGGTCAAGTCAAGGGTAAACCATTTCATGGGTTGTTTTATGGATCTCAAAGAATCGACAACAGATTACTGTTCACATTTTTCAATTCTCATTTTATCTCCAATAGGTCTTTTCCGTGAAATATGCAAATAAGGCAGGCGCATGCGCGTTACTACCACTGGTTGGCATTTACTCGTCACCATTGATCTCCATATAAAGATAAAACACTCATACGCTTACGCATGGTGAGGATTCGGAAAACGTGGACAGTTGACGGTGATGAGGTTTTGCGGGTTTTACGCATGCGTATTTTATAACATAGAGGTATACGTTAGGACGTTATGCATCAGCAAGATCACTTTGATCTTAGTTGATCCTCCACGCTTGGAAGATTGCTCATGAAATCAAAATCAAACAACTTTACTCAAAGTTTGTTTCGAATGAACGACAATACAAATTAATCAAAAAATAAATAATAACAAATTACGGTAACCAATTCCATATAACCCCATTTGAACTGCTCCTGACACGACCTCGTCATGGACGCACTCTTGTAGGCAGTGTTCCAGACATTCCATCACAGCTTCCACAAATTGTCTTTGCCGAGTGAATACGCCTCAGTCCTGGACACAGTGTTTGTTTCTTGGAATTCTATGCATAGATGTAAACAAACAAAACAAATAATGTCAATGAAAAAACTGAGGGTATATACCTAAACTGAATAGCTTCCAATACAAAGATCCTAATAATAATGACGATGTATGCTCCGAAATTTGAATGGAAACCGATCATAGGCTTAAACAATTTTGTTTGGACAACCAGTTGTATTGTCAAAACCAAACAAATAAAACTCCCACTGCATGCCAAGTGTAGTACATGTATTCAGAATCACTTTCACATTGGTCACTGTTGGTTAGGCCTATCCGCCCCGAGCTGAAGTGCACCCCCAGTCGGCGAAAGAAGGACAGGTGGTTACAAACGGGTTCTTGCACGCGTTCTGCGCGTACGCAAAGACCACACATGCCGGAATAAATTAGTTATGCGTCAAACGCGCATACACTTGCGCGCGTCATGGCGTGCCTATGCGGTGAGTAGCAACAAAAAACGCCCTCTTTTGTTCCGCTCGGAGTGGATTGCGATCGGTATGATTTTTGTTTAAAAAATGAAACTTACGACTGAAGGGCACGTCCAGCTGCGCGGTTATTAGTCGATAGTCTGGACTGAGGGCATCCGACGGCTATGCAAGTCCGAACAATTTTTCATCAGTTTTCCCTGCTTTAAAAGGAGAGAGAATTAGAGCAGCAAATTCTTCACGCGACCAGACTAATTTTCCCGTGCGCAGCATACGAACGTGCGCGTGTCGGTCTGGTTCAAACCCTAACTAATGAAACGCGTGCATGCACAAGACGGAGGGCACCGTGAAGTTTATACTCACCAACCGGAATCCGGCATGTATGGTCTTTGCGTACGCAGAACGCGTGCAAGAACCCGCTTGTAACCTGCCTTCTTTCTTTCGCCGATTGGGTGCACTTCAGCCTGGGGTGGATGAAGTGCATACTTATGCGTGAGGTTCTGCACAGTCATTCAGGTCTGATCTGTTAACAGTCTTTGGGAAGAAAAACGAAATTATGGGCGTTTAACACACCGAGCAGTTAAAAAGTGTAACTCAAGTTTTACGGACGGTTTAAAAATTAAACTTGCATTAGGAGCATCAAAGCCGTTTTCCAATACTGAACTTCGTCTTCCTCTCAGGCTTCTTCCCCGAAAGCAATCCCCGATTGTGGGCCTGAAGCGTTGAAATCAAATAGGATAACTGTAAGTTTTTGCTCTCTTGCATCTTATTTGATGTTTTGTGGCACTATTAGACTAATTAGTGCACTTACAGCTTCAAAGTCAGGTAGTAAAACAAAAAAGCAGTTAAAGCCTGAGATGGAGCTGAAGTTGAGTACTGGAAAACGGCCCAGGCTTCAACTTCCCGAGTCGCTGAAAACAAAATTAATACACCAAGGACAAACAAACAAACAAACAAACAAACAAACAAACAAACATGTTGAATTGAATTAAAACAAGGCCGGAGTATTAGGACGGGCAATAAGATGTAACCAGTCTATTGTAGCCTTTGAGCTTGCACTGGTGACCTGCATAATATGTCCTTATATATACATGCTATAACGCGGGGAACCACGCAGACATCCTGTCTACTGCTTGCGATTCGCAATGTGCATTGGGTGTATATTGAAGGGTTTGAAGACGAAGGGAGCGGAGAGCTAGAGACGCTCGTGGAAGGACATGAACGACATGGCGGATCTAAAATAGTCACTCGAAAAAAGCAAAGAATGTACATGTAATACCTATAGCTACGCGGCGCTGTACTACGATTTGGTGTAAAGTGGGTTTGCAACACTGTTTTAGCCGCATTCATCTTCCTACATGTAACCACTGAACCGGTAAGTGACACGTTTGTTGCCCAGCACTTTTAGTCATGACAGTCGAACACGGTTAATACGACTCTACCACGTCTACCGGTACCATGCATGCATAGTCTACGACGGGCTGTTATGTCAAAGCATAGAGCTACAGCTCTATGGTCAAAGGGACTCTCTATAAACCTTCGTCTTATAACCTCGTGGTATCTGCCTACACGTATTATTACTATTATTATTATTCATGCCAACAGTATAAGGGACGGGTATGGGAAAGACAGCTTAGCCCATTCACAGAACGGACATGTATATGCAAGCCTGGCGTCATGCACCAGCAAGCACTGTATGTCATGCTCATACTAGAGAATGGACAAGGACAGTAGTTCAGATTTGTGCACAGAATGGCTGAGGCAAAACCGAGCTCAGTCTTGCGCAACAGTTCCGAGTTCTATTCTTTGACTTAACCCTAACCCCTTAGGGTGGATGTAAAATCGTATTGAAATCGGAGGATTTGGGACTGTTACGGTTAAAGTTATATTTCCCATTTGCCCATTGTTACACGGACATGGACGTGATGGAGTCCCGACTCTATGACACTCTGTCTGTTAACCCTTCGTCCAGCTGCGTACTCACCTTTGTTCCATTTCATTTGTGCACTGTTTTTGGCTACGTGAAACAGTGCAGGATACATAGTCTCTTCTCTTCCCCTTGTGCCTTGGAGTCATTAACCCTAACCCCCTAGGGTGTATGCAAAATCGTATTGAAATTGGAGGATTTGGGAGTGTTGGGGTTAATAGACACGTGTCATTGCAGCAAAACCTATCGGACTAAAACCACCACAGAACTCTATGAAATTGAGGAACACTATATTATTATTAACTTCATGAGAGTATTTGTAGAGTCAACACTCAGTCAGGCCTGGACATTAATGGTTGTTCGATAGCCTAGGACAAGCAATTTCTTCTTTAGCGTTATCACCCTAACCACACAATGGTTGCTGGACCTAACCTTCCCCAATCACACAAACTTCAACACCTTGGAAAAACACTCTTACCTCACAGTACCTAATCCCACAGACTTCAACAGTACTCCTGTTGCAAGAGTACCAAATCCCACAAATTCTTTACCTGTGTAATTTTGCTTGATTGGGTACAGCAGGCCCACTGCACAGTACAAAGAGTATGGACAGGCAGTACCTATTCAAACAAAATCACACGCCATTAGCTGCATATCCATCCCCAACTGCTGGGATAAAGTGAGAGGGCCACAGTACCCATTCAGTCCAAAGTCAACAGGGTATGTGCAGGCCCACGGTACCCATTCACGCAAAATAAACACCAGATAGTGAGCTACCAGTGCCCAATGCCACAAACTCACACACTTTACTGGTGTTGAATTCTGTGTGGTTAGGGAAGGTTAGGGTTAAGGCAAGTAAAAAATTAAGGACAATTAAGGATTATGGTTACCCCTGTCATTCGCCGCCCCATACAATCCCATAATCCTGCATAACCTTGCTGGGTTCAGCATGGTTAGGGTTAACTAAACTGATACACTGGCATGACTGGGTGAACATATGTGGCCCAGGGTATGGCTGTCATGTACATGTACATGTAGTCATACATGTACATGTACATGTAGTCATACATGTACATGTACATGTAGTCATACATGTACATGTACATGTAGTCATACATG